AGAGCAGCCAGGACTTGAACCAGGGTCCACGCGGGATGCCGGCACTGCGGACGGCAGCTTAACCCTCTGCACCACAGCGCCGGCCCCAGACATCCTCTTCCAAACTCACCTTCCAATTCTATTTTTCCATGAACTTTTAGAAATATCCTTAGATATGTTGGTCTTGGGCATTTTTTCCAAACTTGAACTTTCCACTCAAAAAGGCGACTTCTACCGTACATAAATCATAGCTCTAGAGGCAGCTTCGCGGCGCCGTGGGTTACACGGCCGCTAGGGGCACCTGCATCCCACGTGAGTGGCAGCTGGGGTCCCGGCGGCTCCACTTCCCATGCAGCTCCCTGCTAACGTCCATCCTAGGAGGTGGTGGGTGATGGCCCAAGTGCTTGGGCCCCTGGCGCCCACATGGGACACCCAGATGAAGCTCCTGTGGCCATTTGGGGAGTGAATGAACCAGCAGCTATTTGCACAGGTCCTCACTGAGGACTTAAAGGGCCTATCTCTTGAGGGGGGTGCACAATAGTCCATAATGTCGATGGTTAAATGTGAATGAGTCTGTCTCTTTCCCAACCTGAGACCTGGACCTTACTGGGAGCAACGTGTAAACCAAGGGCAAGACAGGCTTTAGAAAGTTCCACAAAGCAGCTTTGTAGGTCTGACTCACCTTGAGCCGCCAGCAAAATGTCGCCCATAGAATGTAAAACACAGATGTACGGCCAGTGTCAACGGATTGGGTCCACTGCCTGTGCAACAAATGTTTGACAAAGGGTAGGGCTATGTGCCAGTTCTTGAGGCAAAACTTTTCAATGAGACCTTCTGAAAGTTCACATGGGGGAGACTGAAGGCAAAATAAGGACGACCATCAGGGTGTAGAGGTGAAAGAGCAGGCTTTGAGATCTATAACTATTTTTTTTTAAGTTAATCTATTTATTTATTTATTTTTTGACAGGCAGAGTGGACAGAGAGAGAGACAGAGAGAAAGGTCTTCCTTTGCCGTTGCTTCACCCTCCAATGGCCACCGCGGCCGGCACACCGTGCTGATCTGAAGCCAGGAGCCAGGTGCTTCTCCTGGTCTCCCATGGGGTGCAGGGCCCAAGCACTTGGGCCATCCTCCACTGCACTCCCGGGCCACAGCAGAGAGCTGGCCTGGAAGAGGGGCAACTGGGACAGAATCCGGCACCCCGACCGGGACTAGAACCAGCTGTGCAGGTGCCACAGGCGGAGGATTAGCCTAGTGAGCCGCAGCGCTGGCCAAGATTTATAATGATTTTGTAATAACCATTTGGGATGGCCACGGGGGTCGGCATGCCAGGTTGGAGGGCTCCATAGGTGCCATGACCTTATTAACAGCGTGCAAATCCTGTAAAAGGCGCCATTCATTAGATTTTTTTATGACAAAAATGGGCGTATTCCAGGGAGAATTGGAAGGCTCTAGGTGTCCAGCCACGAGTTGCTCCCGTACAAGGCTGTAGCGGCATTTAACTTTTCTTGAGTAAGCAGCCACTGATCCACCCACACAGGAGTTGAGTATTCCATGTGATTTTATCCGCATGGGGTACAGGAAGGCCAGTGACCGTTACTAAAAATCCGAATATCTGAGTCCATGTCTATGTGTTTTAGAGGGGGCTGTAATAGGTTGAGTTATGCCCTGTCTCATTTTTCCAAGCCCTGTGCCAGGCACATAGTCCATGCGCAGCATTTGTTGTGTGACTATAGTATTAGGGCTACACAGGATAACTTCCATTTGGGAGAGAATGTCACATCCCCACAGGTTAACAGGGAGGCCTGGTAATACAAAAGGAGTCACAGTGTCCTTTTTTTTTTTTTTTTTTTTTTTTTTAATATAATACCCTTGAGCTGACCTGGGGGTTATTGGACTGGCCTATACCTCGCAAATCAGTGAGAGATGCGGTCAGTGGCCAATGGGCGGGCCAATGATCTTGAGATATGACTGTGGCATTGGCCCCTGTGGCCAAAATGCCCTTGAAATCCTTTCCTTCAATAGTAAGGGTTGACACAGGCCTATTTTTTGTAATTGGCTGGACCCAATAAGCATCCGAGGAGCCCAAAGGGGTAATGCCCAGGGGCCTGGAAGAAAGTGAGGATGAACTTCCAGTAATAAAGGCAGAAGAACCAGCTGTGCTAGACGGGTGCCCTGTGGAACGACAGCTACTCCATTAGTAGCGGCTGCCAGCATTTTATCTCCCCAGTAAAGTTGCTGTCAATAATACCGGGAACAACTTGAATGCCTTTGAGAATGGTTGACGCTAGGCGGAGAGTAAAGAGCACAGGTACCTGAAGGCAAGGGGCCCCGCACCCCTGTAGGGATAATTTGTGGGCCCTGGGTGGAACCTAATATTGTATCGGCAGCGGCACAGAGGTCCAGTCCTGTGCTACCTGGGGTTGCTCATTGGAGGGAGGCAATTGTTGGGCCTGAGGCTGGGAAGGGACAAACCGTTCTGCCCCAGGGTTTGTCCTTTGAGATATGGGGGCCAGGGGCTGGCCCCTCTGGGAGTTTCCCAGTTTGCGAGGTGGGAGGGGTTGGCCTGAAGAATTAGTTTTTGATCTGCATTTATTTGCCCAGTGATAGCCCCTATGACATCAGGGGCATAGAGTGGATGGAGCCACGCCTTGGGCCGTTGGTCTGTTTGATAAGGCGGTTGGCACAATGTCTGGGCTGCTTACAAGCGTAGCAGGTGGAGGTCCCCTTGGAGAGATTTTGGGTCAGTTTGAGTGCACCCCCAATTGCCAAGCCCACGGCATGGGCCGATCCCCCACCAGCGCAGAGCCTCACATAGTCTGAAAGATCACCCTGATGTTTATGAGGCCGAAGAATATCATTACAAGCTGGGTTGGCATTTTCAAAGGCGAGGTGCGTAACAAATGCGCTTCCATTTTCCCCTGGGCCAAGTAGTCTTTCGGCCACAACATTAAGGCGCGAGATAAAATCACTGTAGGGCTCATCCGGCCCCTGTAGGATCTTAGCCAAGGAGGTGGTAACTGGCCCCCTTTGAGGAAGCTTTCTCCAAGCCCCTAATTCGGCAGTTTGAATTTGCGCCAGAAGTCCAGAAGGGAACTGGGCTTGTGAATTGTTGGAATCATACGGGGCGTCTCCCAAAAAGTTTTCTGAGGGTCCAGTTTTTAGATGAAGTTTTAGCAGAATTTTTTGGGGCTATTTCTTTGCAAATCTGAACATAGTCGGCCCTCCACAGGACGTAGTCACCTCCGCTGAGAGCGGCTCTGGCGAGGACGTCCCAGTCATTAGGTGTAAGCCATCGGGCGCTCCGGTTCTCCAGCAAGGCCTGAGTATACGGGGCAGTGGGACCATACTGGGTGCAAGCAGTTCCAAGTTTTTCAATAAATCTGAGACTAAGATTTTTATAGGGTGGGGGCTGCCCATTACCAGTCCTTGATCAGGGCTCTGTTCTTTATCCCCTGACCCAGGTTTCTCACTGTCTTCCCCAGAGTGGTGAGACAAATTTCCCTCAGCTTCATTTTTCCCACCAGCAGCATGCTCAGAGCGATCTCCGCGGCTTGGCTCCGGGTCATGGGAAAAGCCAAAAGTGGTTGGTTTTTAGACCTGACTTTTTTTCCCTGAGGTCGGGTGAGGGGCTGTCCCAAGGTGTTACCAGAGAAATTGGAGGGTTCTTGTCTTTGCGCAAGAAAGAATTCAGGCGTGAGACAGAGTAGCGGAAAGTAGAAGTAGCAGTTTATTAGGGCAGGGACATCCGTAAGGACGGACGGACACCTCTCCAGACAGCACCTGAGAGAGTGCCCAGTCGCTGGGGGTGGGGCGGGTGGAGGTTACATGGTTGAGTGGAGAGATTACACCTGGGCGGGCGGGCAGGCCGGCGCTCAGCAGAGAGGCAGAGGGCTGAGCGCGCCGTCCAGTTGAGGCTGAGGGTTTTAAGGAGATGGGTCTTGCTTCCCCACCTCTGCTCCTCTTGGAACAAAGGGCTTTTGGGATGTAAATAGAAAAACTTCTGAGTTTTCCCCTGAAGGTATCAGACAGGAGAAGCCTAGCTGGCGCCATCCTGGGTTCAGAGGACGGAGTCCTCGTCAAGGGAGTGCAGCTCCTTAAGGAGCTGAATATGTCCTCGTCTGTGCTGAAGTGATCGCCGCAGGGCTGACAAGTCAGGCACGGCAGGGTCGGCCCTTAGAGAGCCGGGGCGCAAAGGGAGGGCGAGGGGGAGGGTTATATGGCGGGGGATTTTTAAGATTTGGGGGCCAATCAGGATTATGATAACATAATTTGAATCTAATTTGTCAGGACTGCCTCGGATGGCAGGATATAATTGACTCGATTTATTGGTAGAAGCCGAAATGGGCTCCTTATCCTCATTTATGGGGTCCTCATCGGCGGAAGGCATATCCAAGATGACAGACGGACATTTAGATGTGGGTCGGGGGGTGGGGGGATCGCTGTAGCGTCTCCTCACCGTCCCTAATCAGGGCGTCGATGGAGCGAACTTTTACAATGTCATTGATTAGACTCCAATATGAGAAGGCCGTAACAGGCGCCTTTTCAGGGCCAAAGGTCTCATGAAAATCCTTTAAACATCTCCAACTCCTCACCACTTGCCCTCGTCAGTAGTTCCCTCCCTGGGGAACCAGGGACATAACTTTTCCACATACTCAAAAAATGCCTTTAGATCCTTATTTTTAACCCGAACTCCTCATGTCTTGAGGGCCTCCTTTAGACCCGAAACGAACATTTCCCGTGACGATAACGCCTGTCCCACGGTCAGTCACTAACCTTGCGCCGTCTTCACTCCGCAGCGTTGACCGAAGCTGATGTCTCGGGTGGGCAGTTCCGAGCCGGTCACACAGTCAGTTGGATCCAAGTTTTCCCCCTCGAAGGCGGCGTTCCTCCAATCTTACAGGCACTCGAGCCCCACGTTGGGCGCCAGCTGTCCCGTCCCGCGGGACAGTCAACGGGGGCTAAGGACCTAGAGGGAGGAATGAGAGGGACAGGAGACACAAAGAAGGCAGCAAGACAGGAGTTCTGATTAAGCTGTAAAATTTATTTTTTTTACACAAGGGTTTATATGCTTTGTAGCAAGGGGGCTGAGGAGGAGGAACTGTTGTATGTGGGCGAGAGGCCCTGTAGGGCCGCATGATAACCGCATGTCTCAGGCGGGTGGGTAGCAGGCTGTATGCACGCCAGGATGTTTGCTGGACCTAGAGCTATGCATTAACCACAAGACGTTCCTTCACTTAACCACAGGACCTTCCAGCCCTTGAGGCAAGAAGCCACTGCAGGCACATCTTCATGCTTGGGGTCGTGGGAGGGGGAGATGTCCCCGACAGCGCCTCAGGCAGACCCGTCGGCACCAGGCGGGCGGACGCCAGGCCCGGCCTTGGCGGAGACGCTGGGACTGCGCCTGGCCCGGCGAGGACGCGGCAGGTGGCGCCACGCACGCACCGAGCCAAGATTCGTTCCGGAAAGTGTATTCGTGCGGACCCACGAGCAGCAGAGGCGGGGCTGGGACTGCTCCGGGGTGGGGGCAGCTTGGGGCTGAGCGTCCCCCGCTGCGGGGCACCCAGCCCTGCCTGGAGGCCGCTGTCCCTCGGGATCGCTGGATCCAACAAGGCATGAGGCTCAAGGGACCCCCCCCGAGTCCCCAAAAACCAACAGAAGCCGGGCTCGGGGCAGCGGACGGGACTTCCAGAAGCTGTGCGGACACAGGGCGGCCGCGGACTTCCTGAGGAAGCTGACCCCGCGCCAGCGGACGCGAGAGAGGCCAGGCCGCTGGGAGGGGACGGAGCTGCAGGGCGGAGGCGGGCAGGGATGGCGGCGGTGGCGGCGGTGCAAGCTGCGGCCCCCACGGAGGGCAACTGGATCACACCCGCTCCCGTCGGCCATGCAGCGGACGTGGGGGGCTGGGGTCGTTTGATCACAGGCGCTGGGACTCCAGCGGGGGTCCCCCCGTGGCCGGCTCAGGGGCCTTCTTTTCTGAAACGTCCGCTTCTTTCTGGTCACCGGCCGGGGCCGGCACGGGCGCGTCGTCTGCAGCTGGAGGGGGCCGGAGAGCGAAGCTTAGATTCCCAGAGTCCTGCACCACAGGGACCTAGCCCCTCCTCCCTCAGACCAGGGGTCCAGCCCAGCCCTCCTCCCTCAGACCCAGGAGTCCAGCCCCAGCCCTCCTCCCTCAGACCCAGGAGTCCAGCCCCAGCCCTCCTCCCTCAGACCAGGGGTCCAGCCCCAGCCCTCCTCCCTCAGACCCAGGGGTCCAGCCCCAGCCCTCCTCCCTCAGACCCAGGGGTCCAGGCCCCAGCCACTCCTCCCTCAGACACAGGAGACCAGGCCCAGCCCCTCTTCCCTCAGACCCAGGGGTCCAGCCCAGCCCCTCCTCCCTCAGCCCCAGGGGTCCAGCCCCAGCCCCTCCTCCCTCAGACCCAGGGGTCCAGGCCCAGCTCCTCCTCCCTCAGACCCAGGGCTCCAGGCCCCACTCCTCCTCCCTCAGACCCAGGGGTACAGTTCCAGCCCCTCCTCCCTCAGACCCGGGGTCCAGCCCAGCCCTCGTACCTCAGACCCAGGGGTCCAGTTCCGGCCCCTCCTCCCTCAGACCCAGATGCTCAGCACCAGCCCCTCCTCCCTCAGGCCCAGGGGTCCAGCCCAGCCCTCCTCCCTCAGACCCAGGGGTCCAGCCCAGCCCTCGTCCCTCAGACCCAGGGGTCCAGCCCAGCGCCTCCTCCCTCAGACCCAGGGGTCCAGCCCCAGCCCCTCCTCCCTCAGACCCAGGGGTCCAGCCCAGCGCCTCCTCCCTCAGACCCAGGGGTCCAGCCCAGCCCCTCTCCCAGGCCAGGGCCAGCACCGGTGTCCGGACGGAACTTGAGCTGCCCCTCCGGGTTGGGGCCGGGGGCACCGAGGTCCTGTGGCTGCTGCTGCTGCTGCTTCCTCTGCTCCATCTGCAGAACGGCCTGCGGGGGGGGCCGCACAGACCCGGCTGTGGCGCTGGCTTCCCGGGCACTGGGGCCTCGGCCCCAGGGCTCCCTTCCCTGCCTGACGTGGCCGGGGGGCCGCCTGGCCACAGGGCAGCCCCTCTGCCCCCGGCTCTGCCTTCCCCACCCGCCCGTGTTGCACGCGGCAGCCGCACCGTGCGCCCACCACCACGGGGTCTTCCCGGGCTCTGGAGGCCCACGTGGACGAGATCGGGGCCCGGGGTCTCCGCACCTGCTGCAGCTCCCTCCTCTGAGCCTCCAGGCGGTCCTGGGACCGCCCCAGGGCCTGTGTCTCCTGGCTCAGCCGCTGGGCCTTGGCGTTCAGCTCGGCCTCGCGGGCGGCCAGCTCCTCCTCAAAGCGCCGCAGCTCCTCCTCCGTGTAGGCCGGGTGCATCTCCACGGTCTGCGAGGCCGGACACGGGCCATCCATCAGCGTGTGGCGGGCGGTCTCCAGCCGCGGCCCGCCCACCTCGCAGAGGCGAGGGAGGACCCAGTGCAGGCCAGGGCCGCCAGGGCAGCAGGACAGGGCTGAGGGTCCGCGGAGCGAGGCAGCTGCGGCCCAGCGCATCCCACGGGCTCACCTCCCACCCCTCCGCGGTGTCCCCGAACTCCTTCCTCAGAGTGGACGCGAGGAACTCCTCCAGGGTCACCAGGCGGTCCTGGTTGGCGTCCACCTGCGGGACGAGGGTGGGATCAGCGGCGGAGCCCCGCCCCCAGCCCGCCCTCCGGGGCCCCGCCCCCGCCTCGCACATTCTTCATCACGTGCTCCCGCATGCGCAGTCGCTCCTCCTCCATCTCACGCATGTCGTCCTCCTCGTTCTTCGGGTCGTACACTTTCTCCAGCTGCGGGGTCGAGCGAGAGGCAGGGGTCGCTGAGGAGCGCGGGGTCACCGCGTTCCCAGACCCCTTCTCGGAAACCCTCGCCCCCGCAGCAACTTCAACTCCCAGCAGTCCGCGGGGCACGGAAGCCTGGTGTCGCCCCTGCGCCTTCTGGGAGTTGTAGTTTTCTCCGGACGCCGACTCAGGGGCCCTCTAGCATCCCGGGGCCAGGTATGGCTGCTGTGGGGTCCCCGGCCCGCGGCTCCCGTGGCGCTTACCTCCTTGGTGAAAAGCGCCTCCAGCTCCTGCTCGTCCAGGACGCCGTCGCTGTTGATATCTGAGGGGAAGGGACACCGGGACAGGTCGTGACGGCCCTCTGGGGGTGAACCGGGGGCTCTCAGGCGTCAGTACCCCACGGGGGAGCGTGGGCTTTCCCGGAGCGTGCGTGGATCGATCCCAGCACCGGGAGTTCCGGGAGCAGGCTCAGCCCAGGATCGGGGGTGTCCAGGACTGCCTCACAGAGCAGGGCCAGCGCCCACTCCGGTGCCAGGGAAACCCGAGCCCCAGCTTTCTCGGTGCCCCGCTCCGCCCCGTCCCCCCAGCTCCCGCCGGGGTAGCCAGCGACCCTGCGCTTGCAGATCCGGTGGTCAGTTCTCAGCCTGCATCTCACCTAACCGTCAGCCGGCGCTCCCAGGAGGCCATCCTGCCCCCCCCCGCTGCCCCGCCCCCCGCTCCTCGCTGGCTCCACCCCCTTCCTCAGGCCTGGGGCTTTGCCGTCCAGCCTTGGGGTCAGCACTACCCAGTATGGCCGCCACTAGCCAAATGGACTGTTTCCGTTAAGTTTCAGCTTTTCAGCCCCTCTCATGCTACACGGCGACGGCCACGGGTGGCTGGTGGCCGCCACGGTGGACAGTGTACATGGGGGCTCCGGGTCCTCGGCCTCCGGCGCACCCACACGTGCACAGCCAGCGCAAGCTTCCTCCCGACGCGGGTTGGGTCATGTACCTGCCAGCCGCGTGTGGTCTCCCTCGCCCTCCCACTCCATCAGCCCGTGTGCAAGCCCTGCCTGCCCGTCACTTCTCCCTGCGTCCCGATGGTCCCTCCTCCCCACACTCTGGGCGCCAGCCCCTACTCCCGCGGGCTCTCCTCAGCACCCATCGGAATAAAGTCCCCGATCGCGAGCCTGGGGGCTGCCGGCACCTCCCCCACGCCCCGCTCCCGCCTGCTCCCCGTACGTTCGCTCCAGCAAGCCCGGGCGCCCCCCACAGCCATACTGCCTCGCTGTGCTGGCTGCCCGCCCCCCACCCCTGCCGGGGTGGACACTGGCCGGTCTTTAGGACTCAGAGGCCCGGTGCGTCCAGGCTCACCCGTGGTGGGGAGGATCCCAGCCCCACGCGGGGAAGGAGGGGCCGGGCCTTGTGGTCAACCAGACAGATGGCTTCAGGCCGCCCAGGGCTGCCTAAGCCCCTCTAGGGCAGGAAGGCCCCTCTAGGGCAGGAAGGCCCCTCCTGGTGTTCAGGCCCCAAGAGGCCAGAGCCACCGCAGGGCTCAGCCGGGTCTGGGCTCCCTCCCCACCTTACCATGCAGTATGAAGAAGGTCTTGGGGTTAAACCTGTTGGGATCCAATCCATCCAGCTCCTCCCACACCTCCTTCAACTGGGCTTGGCTGCCCTGTGGAGGGGAGAGCCGCAGCTCGTGAGCGACAGGTCTGGGAGCCGCGCGATCCAGCCAGGGGACCCTACTCCCATCCAACCGAAGTCACTCCGGAGCAAGAAAGCCAAGAAGACTACAACTCCCGGCAGCCCCTGTGGCACAAGCCAAGAAGACTACAACTCCCAGCAGCCTCTGCGGCAGCGGGTTCCCAGTCTGGGTTCTCACAGGCACGTTGACTTTCGGGTGCTCTCGGTGCCGGCGCTGCTGCTCCTCCAGCTTCTTCTCCGCCTCCTTTCTCTGCTCCTCTCCCAGGGACTCCAGATACCGGCGGCGCTCGTGCTCCTTCAGCATCTCGTAGCGCTTGAACTCCTCGTGGTGGGCCGCGTCGTACTGGGCGAGGTCCCGGGTGGCCTGGGGGAGGCGGCCGCTCGCACTCCTGCCCCGGCCGCCCTGCCCGGCTCCCGATCTGACATCCGCCCCGCCCCGGCCCAAGCCCTGCGCCCTGATCTCACTTTCTGGGTCTCCACGATTGCTCCTCCCAGGATGCGCCCTTCTCTCTGTCAAACGAGATGACAGGGGCCGGTGCTGTGGCCCCTGCGGTAGCGGGTAAAGCCGCCCCTGCGGTGCCGGCAGCCCTTATGGGCGCCGGTTCGAGTCCCGGCTGCTCCACTTCTGATCCAGCTCCCTGCTATGGCCTGGGAAAGCAGTGGAAGATGGCCCAAGTCCTTGGGCCCCTGCACCTGCGTGGGAGACCCGGAGGAAGCTCCTGGCCTGGCCCTGGCTGTTGCAGACACTGGGGCACTGAGCCAGCAGCTGCATGATCTGCCTTTTGAAAAAAAAAAAAAAAAAAAAGCCAGACTGTTCTAAGCTACTAAGCACTGGTCAGAGCCACAGCAGGAAGTTAGCACGGCCGTGGCGTGGGGGCCGGCCTGTACCGGATTCTCAGCCTGCGTTCTGTGGCCACACAGCAGGTCACCCCTGGGGGACAGCCAGCACGGCCCAGTGCGGAGAGGAGCGGACAGTTTCTGGAATGTTCTGGAGTCTAGCGAATGTCAGGACGGGGGGCCGGCCCAGTGCGGGGCTTTATTCCACTGCGTTAAAATAGCTGCTATTACCTTCATGGCCACTAGAGGGAGCTACCGGGACTCCAGGCCAGGCTGGGCAGCGGGCTCGGGGCTGGGGCGCTCGGGCTGGGGGGTCTCGGGCCAGGGGAGCCGCGGCAGGGCTGTGAGCCGGCCACGGCAGCCTTGGCTGCCCCTTCCTTGTTGATCCCATGTCTCAGACGCCGACGGTATCAGTTCCCATTACCGCGGGGAGGGATGAACCCAAACTTAAGAGCTTAAAGTGATGGGATCCAAGCATCCCCTGGCCCTCACAGCCAGGGCTGGAAGGCAGCCCTCCCCGGAACGGCGGGCGTGCTGGCCCAGCCGGCGAAGCTGCAGCCTGCCACGCCCACATCCCGCGCCTGGGGCCCTGCCACCCACGTGGGAGACCCGTGTGCCTTGGCTTTGGATGGCCCAGCCCTGCCGTTGCGGCCGCTTGGGGGAGTGAGCCAGAAGACAGGTTTCTGTCTCCGTCACTAAGCCTTTCAGATAAGAAATCCACCCTAGGTCCGCATCAGCGGGGGCCGCGGCGGGGGCGGAGCTGTGACGCGCAGGCGAGGCCGGCTGTGAGCAGCACCCTCGCCCGACCTGCCCGCAGCCTCTGCTTCCCCAGAGGCCGGAGGAAGCTTCGGGAAGCAGCCCAGCCTGCGCCAGCGAGGAGGAGGAGGCGCGGGCAGGGGACCGGGACCCTGCTCTCCCGCTGGGCCCCGGGCCTCCCGGTTACCGTCTGGATCAGCAGCTCCAGGTCGCGGGCCTCGAACGTGTGCTGGTTCTGGGGGTCCAAGTGCTCGAACTGCCTCAGGAGGCTCAGGTGGTCCACCTGCACGTCTGCGGAGGGGGGGGAAGGGAGGGAGGTGCTGAGCCAGCTGCACAGCCCACGGTGCGGGGGTGTGGGGGGGTAAGCCGCCGCACAGCGCACGGTGCGGGGGAGGGGTGAGGGGTGAGCCAGCCGCACAGCGCATGGTGCGGGAGGGGGGAGGGGGTGAGCCGCCGCACAGCGCACGGTGCGGGGGGATGTGTGTGGGGGGGATGAGCCAGCCGCACAGCGCACGGTGCGGGAGGGGGGAGGGGGTGAGCCGCCGCACAGCCCACGGTGCTGGGAGGAGGCTCAGGGCCCAGCACACAGGGCGCTGGGGAAGCTCCGAGGATCAATCTGCTGCCGGAGCCTGGGCCAGCAGGGAGGGCTTCCTGGAGGAAGCGAGCCCACGACCAAGGCTGATGTGTACAATGACTGTACTGGGGACAGCAGGGGGGGATCTATGCTGATCCCCGCTTTCTGGAGTTGGAAACGGAGGCCCAGAGAGGACGCGGCTGTGCACACAGGAGCCAGGCAGTGACAGAGCCTGCACCCTTGGGAGCCAGGACGGCCGTCGCGGCCACGGAGGCCAAGGCCAGTGGAGGTCCCGCGTGCAGGAGACTCTGCACTCAGTGAGCCGCGCTGGGGTGACGAGGGCGCCACAGCCCAGCAGAGGGCGCCCGCGGGACCGTGGTGAACCTGGGCCCCAGAGGCCGGCACAGACTTTGGACCGCCGGCCAGCTCCCCAAAGACGTCCACGGCCCAACCCCTGCGCCCTGCGGCTGCGCGACCTCGGGTGTGAAATGGGCCTGGCAGACGAGGCCCGGCTGAGGCTCTGAGATGGGGACAGGCTCCCGGGCTCCCGGGGGAGGAGCCCCTGTGCCCCCCAAGGCTCCCTGTGAGAGGGCCAGGAGAACTAACGACGGCAAAGCGCGACGAGATGGCCGAGGGCGACGCCAGGCACCGGCCCCGTGGCACAGCAGGTGGAGCTGCCCCCTGCGACGGCGGCGTCCCAGGTTCGAGTCCCGGCTGCTCCACTTCCGCTCCAGCTCCCTGCTAGGCCCCCGAGGAAGCAGCGGATGACGGAGCCCAGGGCTTGGGCCCCTGCACCCGCGTGGGAGACCCGGCTTCAGAGAGGCTCAGCTCCGGCCATTGCGGCCAACTCGGGAGTGACCCAGGGGACGGAAGACCTCTCCCTCTCTCTGCCTCTGCCCCTCTGTAACTCTGCCTTTCAATAAATAAATCGCTTTAAATATGATAATGAGGTTTAAAATTTAAAATAGGGAAACAGAAGACAGACGAGAGGGCACCGTGAGCGCTGAGCTGAGCTGGGAAGAACAGGCACCTTACAGGGCCGGGAGGCCCCGCCCACCCGCGGCCCCGCCCACCCGCGGAGGCCCCGCCCCGCCCACTCACTGGGCTCCTGCTCCGCGTCCATCTTGGCCTTGAGCAGCATCCGCAGCCGAGACACCTCCTGCCTCTTGAGCTCATCCAGCTTGGTGCGCACGTGGTGGCTGACGAAGTCCAGCTCTCGGCTCAGTTTCCCGCTCTGCAGGGAGCGAGGGGTCAGCCTGAAAGGCCGGGCGGGCTCCTCCGCCTGCCCTGCCCCGCTACTGCGAGCCCACAGGACAAGGCGCAGCCCCTCAGGTCCGGGCCCTGCGCCCTCTGCACCGCGCCTCCCGTCGCCTCGCACGCTGGGCTGCAGCTGCACTCATGGGGTGTGGGCTCACACACAGGGGGCGTGGCCTGCCAGAGACAGCAAGACCAGGTGACCCCAGAGATGGACATGCTAACAGCGGCGAGCGAAGCCCGTGCACGGTGCACCCTCGGCCCCCACACGGGAGTCGGCGACGACGCAGGGGATCCCAGCGCGGCTCATGTTTTGAATGAATTCCGCGTGCTAAGCGCGGGTTCCCCAGAGCCCTCTCCCGCCGAGAGGCCCCCCACACCGCGGGCTCAGCTGGCACCGCAGGGCCTGCGTCCCCTGCCCTCACCTTGATGTCCTCGGCGTTGGCGGCCTGCAGCTTGTCCCGGAAGTGACCGTCCGTCTCCAGCACGTTGATGACCTCCTGCAGGTACCGGTGGTAGTACAGCCCGGTGTCCTGGGTGACAAGGACAGACACGCAGCCATCGCCCCGCCCTCTGCAGCGCCTTCCTGTAGGCAGGACCGCGGCCCTGCTGCCCCGGAGGACTGACGATGGGGCTGGGGGCCAGGACAGCAGGGGGCCTGCTGTGGGGCACGAGGACTCCGGGTTCCAATCCCACTCACGGTGTAACCTGACCCGAGGGCTGGTTTTCACCTCCTCCCAAGTCCGGGGGGATTTGCGATGGAAATCGAGGGGCGCCCAGCCCGGCACCCCCACGGAGTGCGTGCTGGGGTGGACGGAATTTTGCTGGGAAGCAGTGACACAAGCTTCCGTTCAACCACCCATCTAGCAGTTCACTGAGTTTTTTGAGAGAGTTCTCATTGGCTGATGCACTCCCCACATGCCCACAACAGGCTGGGGCTGGGGGCTGCGGGGCCAGGAGCTCCATCCGGGTCTCCCGCGTGGGTGGCAGGGGCCCAACGGCTTGAGCCGTCGCCCTGCGTGGTCCCAGCTCCCAGGGCGCGCAGTAGCGGGAAGCCAAAGGCAGCCACGAGGGATTGGCGCCTATCAGACACAGCCTGGATGTCGCCATCCCATACGGACACCGGTTCAAGTCCCAGCTGTTCCACTTCCCATCCAGCTCCCTGCTAATGCGCCAGGGAAGGCAGCGGAAGATGGGCCAAGTGCTCGGGCCCCTGCACCCGCGCGGGAGACCCGGATGGAGCTCCAGGCTTCCTCCAGGCATTTGGGAGTGAACCAGCAGGTGGAAGATGCCTGCTCTCCCTCCCTCTCCTTGTCCTCTCTCTGAAATCCTGCCTTGCAAATAAATAAATGAATAAGTAAATGTTGCGAAGCACTAAGTCTGGTGGGATTTGACAGACAGCTGTTGGGATTAGTGCGCAGCTCAGGGGCCCTTTCTTCCGTTCAACCCCAACGCCTGGAGCTCCGTGAAGTTAGGACGCCTCTGCCTATCATCAGCCGCTCCCGGTGCTCCTGGGAGATGTAGTTTTCCTTTAATTTCTCGTTTCTTCTCGGGTGGCAAGGCTCTTAAAGCGAGAGAGGCTTAGGTGGACAGGGGTGCTTTGTAAACTTAGCATCTGGCCTGATTTTCAAGTGGGGGGCACCCCAGTTTTTAACTGAGCCCCAGACCCCAGTGTTGCGAAGAGAACGGCAGGCGGGCCACAGCCGCAACCTTGGGCTCAGGTCGCCCCGGGGGCGCCGAGGGCTGCAGCGCGCAAGGCGGGCCACTCACGGGACTCTCGGTGGCGGGGCTCTCGTCCTGGCGGGGGGACCCCCGCTCCAGCGGCACGGCGCCCGCAGCGTGCAACAGCAGCAGCAGCAGCAGGGCTCTGCGCGGCCCACGGGGCGGCATGGCGGCCGGTCTGCGAGGGGCAGCGAGGTGGAAAATGCAGACCCCCAGCCGCCTCCCAGCTCAGTCCCCTGGGGTCCGGCCCCCCGTGCGGCCCCCACCCCCGGGAGTCCGGACTCAACGCGTTTCGTGACCCGGCACCCGGGGGTCCACACCTGCAAGTCCCGCTTCCTCCGCCCCAGGGACTCGGGAGTCCCGGCCCCCAGCGCCCTCTTCCCTCGCGCTCGGACACCCCAGACCCCGGCCGTTCCTCCCCCAGACCCCGGAGTCCAGGCTCCGCGCCTCCTCTCTCCCAGGACCCGGAAGCCCTGGCACCGGCCCAGCCTCCCCCGGGACCCCGTTCTCCGGCATCGCGGCCCCGTCCTCCCCCTAGGACCCCGGAGCCTGGGCCGCGGCCCTCACCTCGTCCTCGCCGCAGAGGGCGTTTTCCCGGGCCAGGACCTCAGGGGCTCGCTCAGTGATTTCCCCCTAGGCCACGCCCATCTGCCCGGAGATCCCGCCCCCAGGACCCTGATGGTCCACGCTGGCTCCGGGCGCTCTCGTCACGCCTCCTGGCCTCGCCCCTTGCCGAAGTCCCGCCCCTATCCCCCGACAGCTTCGCTTGCTTTCTCAGAAGCCCCGCCTCCTGATGCTGCGCTTCCTGCCATGTAGGACACTTTCCCGAAGAGAACTACAACTCCCTGCAGGCCCTGGGCGGGAGCGGCGGAAATGAGTCACTTCCGCCGACGTCTTGGCCCCTTCGCCTCCTGGGAGTCGTACTTTGACTATTTGTTTTCGCGCCCAAGAAGCACCTGCGAGGTGCAGCTCCGTAGCAACCGAGCAGACTTACAAGCTCCTTATAAAGAGACACATGGAGGAGACTTTGCGGCCGCCGCTTCTCTCAGGCCCCTTTAAGGAAACACTTACGTGCCATTCCGATTCAGAACCCCGGGGTTGCCTAGCTGCAGGGCTGGCCAGAGGTCACTGCTTTGTTGGAAGTGAGTGTAGGGGACAGGGAGAGAAGATATTAGGATAGGCCCCAAGAGGCACGCTCTCTACCTCTGAGCCCTTTGTTCTCCTCCTGCCTGCTTCCCAGAGACCCCGAGATTAGCCCCCAGCTCTCAAAGAGAGTTAGGTGTGCTTTAACATGGCCTCCAGAGGCAAGGCCCTGAGGTGTGAATATGAGTAGCCCGTCCCTGCCAAAGGGGAAGAGAGTCTTCAAAATCCCAGGTAGGTGGGACCTGCGCAGGGGTTTGCAGCCCGGGGCCCCGAGCTGCAGGCGTAGAGAGAGTCGGGCTCCCTGGCCCCCCCAGTGAAGCAGTCGGAGCAGCTGGCCGTCAGTCCTGCTGCAGGACCCAGGCTGCCCGGGCTTGAGGGCAGGGGCTGCTGGGAGGCTGGGTCTGCGTTCTGACCACTTGTTCTCGCCTCTCCAGGATGTCTCAGGAAAATAGCACGTGTAAGAACGGGTGAGTGTGGAACCAAGCTGGTGGGGCGCGGGGTGCGGGCGCTAGTGGAGTTCATCTGAGACTTGATTATGCCTCCCCGGCACTCGGGTCCGGCCCCGTAACCTAGCAGGTGGAGAATCCGGGGCTTTGCAGGGGGACTGGGGACTGGGCTCCTGGGCCCTGCCAAGAGGGGGCTGCCGGGGGAGACCTCCGGGCGTGAGGGGGGACGGGGGACCCTGAGACGGGAAGAACGCAGATTCCAGACACAGAAAAAGCTTGAGATCTGGCGCAGCAGGCTCAGGTTCCGCAAGGTCTGTGACCTCACCGCTCAGAACCCGAGTGGGGCGGGGGCAGGCGGGGAGGGGGGAGGGCAGGGGGGAGGGGGAGGGCCCCGCTTGCTCCCACACCAGCCTGCGTCTCTCCCAGCACCCTTGCCGAAGAGCTCGCTGCCCTGAGGATGCAGAAGCTGGAACAGCAGGTACCCTGCCCAGGACCCTCCCCCGCCCCCACCTCACATCTGCACTTGGGAAATAAGAAATAGGAACTTGGGACCCTAGAGAAGCAAACCCTGGTGCGGAGACCCCTACATTTCGATGGAAGGAGGGGCTGCGTGCCCAGGACTCTTGGAGCTGAGGGCCTGGACCCTTGAGACTCAGGGGGTCACGAGTTCGCCCACCTATGCGGGCCTCCCCTCCCCAGCCCCCCCCCCAACACCTGTCTTCCCGTCTGATAACAGCGCGGGTTCCCGCTCCCGCCCCCTCCAGAGGCGGCTGTTCGAGAAGAAGCAACGCCGGAAGCGCCAGGAGCCGCTCATGGTCCAGGCCAATCCTGACGCTTCTCTGCGGCACCGGCAAGGGTCGCGGCGAGAAGACCGCTTCAAGGCCGACCACCGTGAGGGCAGCTCCGGGGCTCTCAGATGGAGACGTCAGTCTGTGGGGAGGAGCCAATAGGAGCGCGGGGGCGGGGCCTGGCAGGGCCTTTGGGCGAAGCCAAAGGGGAGCGTGAGGCGAGGGTTCGTGGGCGGGGCGCATTGCTATTGGAGGATCGTGCCCGAGCGCGTCCTGTGATTGGGCAGAGCTCGAGGGCGGGGCCTGGGGGAACCCGGAAGCGGCCGGAGAGAGCCGAGGCCGGGAGCGGGGTGCGCGGAGCCAGGTGGCGCCTGGTGGCGGGGCGTGGACGGTTCGGAGGCGAACTTGTGGGGAGGCTGTGCGAGCCTGGCATGGGGTTGTTTAGGCGCGGAGCGGTGCCTGTTTGAGCCGTAGGATGGCGTTTCGGCGGGTGCGGGGGTCCGCGTGCTGGAGCCCTGTGCGTTCACTGACGCCGCCGCACTTGTCCCAGGCTTTGGGAACCCTCTCCTCCAGGCACACCTGCTCCCCGAAGCGCACGGTCCGCCGGGCACCGTGGGCTGCGGTGGGGACGGCAGCGGCGAGCGCTGCCCCTTGCTGTCGCCGACGGAAGCAGGTAACCGCCAGCCCCTGGGCCGCCTTCCCCCGAAAACGGCTCCGACCAAGCCCAGGCATCTGCGGCCCCACCCGCTCCTCCCTCCTGCCTGGGCCGTCAAGTCCTGAGCCGCCGCCGCCGCCACCGCCTCCAACCCCCTAGGACCCGAGGCTCCAGTCCCCTCCCTCTCCTGGCTTCCAGACAATTCCGAACCAGAGCTGGAGGAGGTCTCCGTGGAGGACGTGCCCGTCTCTCCTCAGCCCTATAAGGAGCCTCAGGGAACTCGCCGCAGGGGTTGGCTGGCCTGGAAGTGGCCCGGTAATTTCGGGAACATCGGGGTGAATTCCGGCTTCCTGCCGTGTGGCCGATCGTCTTCCTTTCTTGGAAGCCGCTTTCAAAAAAGAAAGGTTTATGTGTTTCTTGAAGGGCAGTTATAGATCCCATAGTTCCGTGGTTCTTGGTGTGTTCACAGATCTGTGCTGTCGCCTCTCTCTATCCTAGAACACTTATGCCACCCCGAAAAGAAACCCTGCGCCCATTAGCGGTCACCCCATGTCATTTCCTCCAAGAGGAGCCCTGATCCACTTCTTGTCTCCTTAAATTTGCCCACCCTGTTTCATGTCCGTGGAATCATGCGATATGTGACCTTCTGTGTCTAGCTTCTCTTATGTATAAAGTTGCTAGGGGTCATCTATGCTGTAGCCTTGCCAGTATTTCATTCCTTTTCATTCCCTAGTAATATTCCATTGTGCCACACACACACACCCCCCCAATCCCCATGACATTGCCAGCATTTCAGTGACAAGACTCCACATTACTGCCCCAACTTCTACCCCCCGTCTCTGGGATAGGAGAAGGGTGAGACCCTCACGTCCCTTCCTGTCCTCAGCAGCCTCTCGGGAGGATGTGGCAAGGGAGGGCAAGGAGTAGTGAGTAGGGGCTGAGAACCCCAGAGTTCTGGCCTTGTGCCGCTAGCCCCGATGGCCATGTCCCAGACTCACGGGACCGAGTTTTCCTTACTCCGGTCCCGGCTTCTCCCACCCTTAGGGGCCACCGCAAAGGACCAGAGTGAATTACAGGATGTGGAGGACGAATTCAATGAGCCCAGTCCAGACGCAAAGCTTGGAGTGGACAGTGGCTGGGAACGCGGGGGACGTGGGCACCTGCCAGGTGATGGGAGGCACGGGCGCTCCGGAGGAGGAAGACGGCCAGCCTGGGACACCTGGGGAGGGTGGGGAGGAAACCCTGGGGCGCTTTTTCTTCCCTGCTGTGATGGGCTAGCAGACGCTGTGTGTGTGTGTGTGCGCGCGCTATTTATCAGAGCCAACTGCTCTCACTTAGCCTGGTGCAAGGGTTCCCTTGGAGCCACACCTGGGCTGTGTGCAGTGTTACCTGAATTGAATCTACACCGTTTTGTCCGAATGGGCAGTGCGCCCCACAGGGGTTCTCCAATCAGTAGGCAGAGTCGGCTCGGCTTCAGGGGGAAAGCGAATAGAACTAGCCAATCAACAGCTCCTGGGGCGTGGCTGGGTTAGCTGACTGAGACCTTTGACCAATGGCACAGGAAACATGTATGGCTGGGGGCGGCACCCTTTGCTGGGCTGGCCAATCAGCAGTCGGCAAGGTGGGGCGCCCGCTGTCGCTCACCTTTGAATTTGCCGTGTGGTGCTAGAGCGAAGACCCGGAGGAGAAAAAAGAGGAGCGGGGGTCTTCCGGAGTGACCCCCCCAGAGGCAGCGGAAGAGGAGGTGTCGGAACGCGAAGGCAAAGGCCCGAGCGGCCCTGACAGCGGCCACGTGGAGGGCTTGGTGCAGTCGCCGCCGTCCAAGCCCGGGCCTCGGCTGGGCGAGGACTTGGAGGCCTACGTGCTGCAGCCGGCGCCTCAGGGCCACATGGTGCAGTGCCGCATCAGCCGCAACAAGCGCGACGTGGACCGCGGCATGTTCCCCTTCTACCACCTCTACCTGGAGGCCGAGGAAGGCCTGAAGGTTCGGGCACGCCCGCCCGCCTCCCAGCCCGAGCCCCGCCCCCTTCTGCGCAAAGTCGGGATGTCCAGGAACCCTGGCCTTGCTGGTCATTTGCAAGGTGGACCTGCCCACTCCCACGCCCAGCCCTGGCCGTCCCAGGCCCGGAATCCGTTCCTCATGGAGCCCCGTGGCCTCGGCCGTCTCACACCAAGTCTTGTCCCACTGCAAGTGGTCTCTCCTGAGCTTCCTCACGTCAGACCTCACTCAGTCCTGGGACAAGCCACACCCCTGACAGGGTGCCCCTCCCCTCAGGGCTGACCCCTAGCCAGGCCTGGGTATCAGGATGAACGTCCCTTCAAAGTCCTGCTCCAATGTTGCACGTGAGGCCGTTCCAAATTCTCAGTTCCTGCCTGTGACGGTCAGGCTAGCCACGGCCTGGGCTTAAGTCCCAACCAGGGGTCGCTACTAAGAGGTGAAGCTCCCGTCCAGGACCCAGCTGATGGCTTCCTCAGGGAGAGCCCCACCTCCCAGCAGGTTTGGGGGTCCTTACGGCCCTGGTGCCCTCGCCATGGCCACGGGCCACGCCTTTCCTTGTCTGTGGACTCCTAGAAACCCCTTCCGACCGGCTGTGTCTCCCACCCGCAGCACTTCCTCCTGGCTGGGCGGAAGAGGAGAAGGAGCAAAACCTCCAATTACCTCATCTCCCTGGACCCCACAGACCTGTCCCGGGACGGCAACAACTTTGTGGGCAAAGTCAGGTGTGCAGAACGGGTAGCAGGGAGCCGGGCCGGGGGGGGGGGGGGAGAAAGGGACGAGAGGACCACAGTTTCCAACAGAGCACAGGCTCCCCCTGGGGAGTCTGATTCTGGAGGTGCAGCCAGGGATGTGGAGAGAGAGGGAAGCCGTTCGAATCCCTTGGGGTGCAGGCTCTCAGAGGCACGGGGCTGGGCCTTCTAAGTCAGGAGTCAGAGCCTGGTGTTGAACCCAGGTGCCCTGACGTGGGACGCAGGTGTCTTAACTGCTCAGGCCAAATGCTGGCTGCAGGGAGGAGGGTTGCTAACGGGCCATAGTAGGAGGCTGCAGGCTCACCACAGGGCTGGGGGCCGGGACTGGGGCTACAGGGAAGCTGATCCTCACCTGGGGGGTGTTGTATCCTACCCACTCCCTTCCCGGAGCAGATCTAACATCTTGGGCACCAAGTTCACCATCTTCGACAACGGGGTCAATCCCAAACGAAGGTATCTGACCCCGGGGACTTCCCGGCTCCGAGAGGAGCTGGGAGTCGTGTGTTACGTAAGTGTCCCAGGGTTGGGAGAGAAGGGGCAGGACAGGAGAGGAAGAGAGCCAGGCCAAGGGGGAAATAATGCCGGCAGGAGACCAATGTCCTGGGATTCCGGGGGCCTCGGAAAATGACCGTGATCATCCCTGGAATGGACAGGAAGAACCAGAGGATCAGAGTCCAGCCCCAAAATGTGAGCCCCCAAGGTTGCTGCCCCGGGGGCCTGTGGGGGAGGGGTGGAGCTGCCATCATAGGTCCCGGGGCGGGGGAGGCCAGAGCGGTGCTGGTGGCCCGTAGGTCCTGGGGAACTCTGTCGGATTCCCAGGGCGTGAACTCATTTTCTGAGGGTTGGTTTCGGTTAACCACGCCCCCTACTTGCCCTCCCAGGAACAGGAGTCACTCCTGGGTCGCTTTCATCGCGGAGCCAAACAGGGGCTGGTCCTGCTGCGAAACAAGTACCCGTCGTGGAGCGAAGAGAACGGCGCCTACGTGCTCAATTTTCACGGCCGCGTTACGCGCGCCTCCATCAAGAACTTCCAGATCGTGCACCTGGATGACCGTGAGCTCCTAGGATCCCGCGGCCTCCCTGGGCCAGGGGGCGTGAGCACCCGAACTACCTCTCCCATCAGCACTGGCGCGTTCTTCTAGGCAGGGCGGGCGCCGCGCTGTGGCAAAGCCTCCTGGGAGTTGTAGTTTGCAGGACCCGCGGGGGCGTTAAGGTCTCAGTAAAGGGCGCCACACGAACCTCTTGGGAGTTCTCTGAGCCCTGAGGCGGGGGTCGGGAGAGCGGCAGCCCAGGGCTCAGTTCCCGACTTCCCCCTCAGCGAATTGCCTGGTGCTGCAGTTTGGCCGGGTGGCCCCAGACATGTTCACCATGGACTTCCGCTTCCCGCTTTGCCCGCTTCAAGCCTTCGCCATCTGCTTGTCCAGTTTCGATGGGAAACTGGCTTGTGAGTAATTCAATAAATACCACTCCCCCGCCAGCCTGGGCGCGCCTGCTTCTGCACCGTCTCAGGACCAACACGTACTAGATGCCGCCTGGGGTCAGTCCTGGCCCTGGGCGTGGAAGGCACCTACCCCCATGGGGTCCCCAATTACAGGAGCTGGAGGTGAGGGCAGCGTCGTAGCGGCCTGGGGAGTCAGTGGACAGGGCAGGGCGTGAGGCTGCACATTCGGGCCACTTTTTTAAAAGATTTATTTATTTATTTGAAAGTCAGAGTTAGGCAGAGAGACAGAGAGAGAGGTCTTCCTTCCACTGGTTCACCCCCCAATTGGCTGCAACAGCTGGAGCTGGGCCAACCCAAAGCAAGGAGCTTCTTCCAGGTCTCCCATGCAGGTGCAGGAGTCCAAGGACCTGGGCCATCTTCTACTGCTTTCCCAGGCCACAGCAGAGAGCTGGATCAGAAGTGGAGCAGCTGGGTTTCGAACCAGCGCCCATATGGGATGCTGGCGCTGCAGGCGGTGGCTTTAACCGCTGCACCACAGCACTGGCCCCGGTCCACCTTATTTGAACTGGATGGATCAGAGATCAGAGAATTCCAAGCTGTCTATGGAAGTTTGGGTGGGTGATGGAAGACACGCATCAGGGAGAACGAAAATGGCTTACATTCCTAACACGTGAATTAATTCATTTGATGAGCACTTTTTTTTTTTTTTGACAGGCAGAGTGGACAGTGAGAGAGAGAGAGACAGAGAGAAAGGTCTTCCTTTGCCATTGGTTCACCCTCCAATGGCCGTCGAGGCCGGCGCACCGCGCTGATCCGATGGCAGGAGCCAGGTGCTTCTCCTGGTCTCCCATGGGGTGCAGGGCCCAAGCACCTGGGCCATCCTCCACTGCACTCCCGGGCCACAGCAGAGAGCTGGCCTGGAAGAGGGGCAACCGGGACAGAATCCAGCGCCCCGACCGGGACTAGAACCCGGTGTGCCGGCGCCACAGGTGGAGGATTAGCCTAGTGAGCCGCAGTGCCGGCCGAGCACGGTTTTAAACTGTGATCCTTTTGAGGCCTTCCAATCCTACAAGTTGTGTACAACTGTCAGCTACGTTATAGATAAGGAAACCAAGTCTGTGCACAGCGGACTCAGAAACATGACATCAGACGACAGGAAAATCTCCCGGAACTCAGCCCCAGGCGCATGCCAAGGCCCCCAGAGAGCGAACCCCAGCATTCTGGGCTAAGGGGGACCTGCAAGGTGGTACAGTGCCAGTGTGTGGCATTGTGGGTCCCCTGCCGCCGGCACACGGCACCCCATGTGCTGTGTCCCGGCACCTGGAAAAGCTATGGAAGATGCCCCTGCCACCCATGCAGGAGACCCAGGTGGAGTTTCAGGCTCCTGGCTTTGGCCTGGCCCAGCCCCAGCCACTGCAGCCATTTGAGGAAGGAATGAGCCAGGGGATGGAATTTAACTCTACCTTTCAGATAAATAAAATATTAAAAACTGACGCACTCCCAGCAGTGCTATTTCCCAACCATCTCAAGGGCCCAAGGTAGGGTGTCAGTTCTGTCCCACACGAGATGTTGCTTGCTACAAATCCAAAGGCTTTATTTTTGCATAAATAAATACTTAAGAAAATGATGAATAAATAACACACAAACAAACTTGGTCTTAGCCACGCCTCCCACTGAGGCCCAGGCAGGGAGATGGGGTTTCAGTAGGCGGGGAGGGAGAGGGTGTGGCCACGGCTTGGCACAGGGCCATGGCTTGGACTGGGGACTTGGGAGAGGCGGGGGAGGAAGGCAACGTGTGGGCGGGGGCGAGGATGGGGCCCAGGGAGGAGGGTGGGTTCCTGAGGCGCGCCCAGGCTCTGGCCCGGGCTGCAGGGCTGAGGCAGGGGCCCAGCTCCTCCTGGGCCCGGGCGATGCGGCGGGCAAAGCGGCTCCGATCCCTGGCGAACTGCTCCCAAGGGCCCTTGCGGGCAGCCTGGGCCGGCCCCGCCCACACAGCCAGGAGATGGACGGTGACCTTGTCAGAGAAGCGCACCTGGAGGTGGACAGCACGGCCATGCAAAGACGGGCATCCAGGAGGGGGAGGAGAGAACCAGAGAGCAGTGAGGCAGGACGAATGCCCACCAGAGCAGATCCCCGCGCGGCCGGGTGCCGCAGCTGCTGCCTCTCCCCCCGGGGCCCCGCCTCTCACGCAGCAGTGCGTGACAGCTCTCCCGACAGTGCACACGCAATCCTGTGCAACACGGGCGCCCAGCAGTCCCGGCCGGCAGCCCTCCTCCCCCGCCCAGGCCTTCCCACTCCCAGCCCCCTCCTCCCCGAGCCTCAAGGCCCAGGGCCCCTCGGCACCCACCTTTCTGGCCAGGGGAGTCTCAGGGTCCGGACCGCGGGCCGGGGCCTCTGAGACCTTGAGCCGCCTTCGCAGCCGGACGGGCAGCTTAGGAGGAGCCCACGGAGGGGGTGGCTTCTCTCCAGGTAGGTAGACGGCCACTCGGAAGGCAGGGGGCTCAGCTTCTCCATCCTCCTCAGCTGATCCCTCGTCGCTGTCATCGTCTGTGTCCTCTCCTGGCCGATACACCCAGGCCCTCATGAAGGCACTTGTTGCATGGGTGGGAGAGGAAACCTCAGCTTCTCCCCACTCCTCAGCTCCTCCCTCCTCCTCAGCTGATCCCTCGTCGCTGTCATCTTCCGTGTCCTCTCCTGGCCGACACACCCAGGCCCTCACGAAGGCACTTGTTGCACAGGTGGGAGAGGAAACCTCAGCTTCTCCCCACTCCTCAGCTTCTCCATCCTCCTCAGCTGATCCCTCGTCGCTGTCATCGTCCGTGTCCTCTCCTGGCCGACACACCCAGGCCCTCACCAAGGCACTTGTTGCACGGGTGGGAGAGGAAACCTCAGCTTCTCCCCACTCCTCAGCTTCTCCATCCTCCTCAGCTGATCCCTCGTCGCTGTCATCTTCCGTGTCCTCTCCTGGCCGACACACCCAGGCCCTCACCAAGGCACTTGTTGCACGGGTGGGAGAGGAAACCTCAGCTTCTCCCCACTCCTCAGCTTCTCCATCCTCCTCAGCTGATCCCTCGTCGCTGTCATCTTCCGTGTCCTCTCCTGGCCGACACACCCAGGCCCTCACCAAGGCACTTGTTGCACGGGTGGGAGAGGAAGCCTCAGCTCCTCCCTCCTCCTCAGCTGCCCTGTCAGCAGGGCCCTCCTCCTCCTCACTGTCTTCTTCCTCTGGGTCCTTGCCGGACTGACTGAGCAGGGGCCTCCGAAGGGGCGCCAGGCAGCGTGGCCCGGGGCCGGCGTCTCCTCTCCCGGCTGCTCCGTGCACCCCTTCCCCTGTCTCCCTGCTTTCCTCTCCTGAACAAGGCTCCCGGGGCCTGGGCTCGGCGCTGGAATCCGAGGCCGGATCGGAGGCCCTCCTGCCTTCCTGGCTTCCTGCTCTTTCCTCCTCCGTGGCTCGGGCCCCGCCGTCCCCTGGGCAGCGCGCCCCTCTGCTGGGCTCGGGTCCTGGAGTCGGGGAACTGGCGGCGCTGGGGGCGTCTCCATCCTCTGTGCGGGGCTCCCCCCCTGACCAGGGATAAGAGACCGGGGCCACGCCCCCTCTCTCCGCTTCCTCCGCCCCAGGGTTCTTATCAGACCCGCGCAGGCTTCCCCCCCACAGGCTGGGGCACAGGGCAGCAGGCTGGCCGGCTGCAAGCTGCCCTCCCTGTTCGACACTGGCTGCCTCTTCGTCATCGTCATCTGCAAGTCCCGGGGCCTCAGGCAGGCAGCCTTTCCGCCTGAGGCAGGGCGTCCTGCCGCTGCCTCCAGCCCCCCAGGGGGCTCCCCGGGCGGCCACGGGCGCCTCCAGGCCAGCCTCGACCTGATGTTCCAGCAGCCAGCGCTGCGGAGGTCCTGGGCCTCTCAGGAGGCTCCAGGCCCGGCTGAGGAAGCCCATCAGCGGGGACAGGAGGAAGAAGGGGTGGGCGTCCCCCCAGGGGGCGCCATGATGCGGCACCTGGCCGGGCGCCATCTGTCTGGGCTGGAAAAGGGGGAGAAGGAAAGGAAATAAAGTTGAGGGGCCATTTGGGGCTGGCGCGGGGCGTGACCGTGAGTCAGGCCGCCGGAATTAGCAACAGGCGCAGCTCCGGATTCCTGACGCCGGCCACGCCCCTCTCGCGCTCTGGGGCCCGGCTCGGTCCACCCTTGGGTCCGAGCGTCCAGACCCCCGACCCCTCCTCTCTTCAGACCCAGGAGAACCAAGAACAAAGGCCTTCTCCTCGCTCCCCGTGGGGACGCAGGTCGCTCACCGCCCTGGGCACTGACAAATCAGGCCGCCATCTTTCCCTGGGGGCTCCGTACCTCCCGACACCCCCAGCCCCGCCGCGGCTTCCTTGGGGACCCAAGGGTCTGTCTCGCAGGCTCAAGCTCCAAGACTCCCAACCCTCCCGCCTTCCCAAGCTGCGGGCCCCGGCCCCCTCCTCCACGCCCCGGAGACCCCCACCCCCGGTCCTACCCCGCCCCAGGCCCTGCCTCCCTCAGGACCCGAGCTCGAGTCCCGGCCCCGAACCCTCTAGTCCCGGGAGCCCGGCCCTAGCCCCCAGCTCCCCGGCGCCCCTCGCTCACCGTCTGGGGCCTGCTCGTCACCCCGGAGGCAGCAGCGCCGGCTCGGGCTGCCAGAAGCGATCGTAGGTCCGGACGGCTCGGGAAGCCAGCGCGTTCATCTCGCCCTCAGGCGTGAGGCTCGAGGACACTTGGTCCCACCGGCGGTCGCAAGCGCAGTGGCGGCGAACGGGCGTCTCGCATGTAATCTTCCACGGTGCTGGCTGGCGACAGAGCGGTGGAGCACGGACGCCGCTCGCGGCGCTTTTATAGGCCGGCGCGCTGACGTCACGCGGGGCGGGGCTTCGGGAGCCCGCCTCCGCGGGCGGGGAAGCGAAAAGGGAACCGGGACTTCTCGCGGGGATTCCAGGCCTGTGACGTCACGGCGGCCTTTCCGCGCGGGCTGTCCGTCACGCGCGTGCCCCTCGCTCAGCTCTGCGCGATGGCTCCCCAGCCCAGCGTAGGCGGCGGGCCCCAGCCTGCGGTCGCCGGCGGACGGGGGTGGCCGTGTCCCCGTTCCACTTGCCCAAGGTGGTCACTGCAGCGTCCAGCCTCCTAGCGGGCAGGCCGGCCCCCTGCTCGGCTGTATTCGCGGGGCTGCACCGCACAGTCGGCATTTCGCCTACTGATTTACTGTTCGATGTAACCATGGCCTTAAATATTTTTAAAGTATTTATTATTTATTATTTGATAGCGTGAGAGAGAGAGAGAGAGAGATCTTCCATCTGCTGGTTCACTCCTTAAATGGCTGCAAGTAGCCAGGACCAAGCCGGGTCAGAACCAGGAGCAAGAAGCTCCACCCAGGTCTGCCCCGTGGCTGGAGGGGCCCTGGGGCCTTCACCTGTCTGCTCAGGTGGGAACTGGACGGGAAGCAGAGCAGCTGGGGCCGGAACCCGCGCTCCGACGTGGGGTTCCGGTTGGCCTTAAAGTGTCTGTATATATTACCTATATATATTTTAAAAGATTTATTTATTTATTTTAAAGGTAGAATGACAGAGACAGCTGGAACTGGATCCGGCTGAAGCCAGGAGGCAGGAACTCCCTCGGGTCTCCCATGTCGGGGGGAGGGGCAAGCCCTGGGGCCATCACCCTCTGCCTTCCAGGGGGCATTAGCTGAGTGGCCGGCCTCGCACCAGCCCTCCGGTGGGGGTGTGAGTGTCCCAGCCGGCAGCTGAAGGCCCTGCTCCACAACACCTGAAGAAATTACTTTTTAGGGTACATGTTTTGGTTAGGACTGGGTGGCTCCCTCCTGGGAGTGGGAAGCGTTTGCTCTGAGCGCCTGGCCCAGGGACACAGGGCCAATCCCCTGTCCCTCTTCCCCTAGCCGGTCCATAACTTTGCTCCCCAAAATGTGCCCCAGCTCCCACCTGGATCTGAGATGGAGATTCGGAGCTGCCCCCTACTTGACCGTGCCCCAGCCAGCGTCTGGAACTGCAGGCTGACACCAGGAGCCAGGAACTCCCTCGGGTCTCCCATGTGAGCGGCGGGGACCCAACCCCTGGGGCCATCACCCTCTGCCTTCCAAGGGGCATCCGGGAAATCCAGGCCACCCCCTGTGCCTGGGTGATGGAAGCACCCAGCCTCGCCCAATCAAAGTCTCCCTTCCAGAACCGAGGAGCCCCGACTCGGGCTGTCAGCTTCTGGATTCCTGACCCCAGTTCTTCAAGAGCCTCAGCCCAGACTGCTTACAAAACGCAGGTCCCCTCTCTTTAGGCCACCAGCGGCCCTGGCCCGATCCTGCCCCTGCCTGCAAGCCCAGAGCACTCCCGGCCACAGCCCTTGGGGACCCTGGAGCTGGGGGCCGGGCAGCCCCTCCCCTCAGCTGGGAGGCCAGCCCAGCCAGGGGTCTGGCTGCGGTGGGGAAGCCAGGAGGGGCGGGGACAGCCGGGATTGGGAGGGGAGACAGCGGCGTGGGCGGCTGGCAGAGGCAGGGAAAGACCAGCAGAAAGGAAAGAGAAACGGGAGAGGGAGGAAGAGAAAGCGGGGAGAGTCGGAAGAGAGAGGGGGAGAGGGAGAGAGAGAGGGAGAGAGAGAGAGGAACGACGTGGAGGGCCAGAGAGAAGAGTAAGAGAGTGAGTGGGGGGGGGGCGAGACGGGGTAGGGGGGAGAAAAGTGTTAAGGAAGAAACCGAATCTGTAAGAAAAAGAGAGAGAGAGAGACGGGGGAGAGAGCGTGGTTGTGGGAGGAGAGAATGAGAGAGAGACGGACTGGAAGAGGCAGAGGTTGGAGAGAGGGAGGCAGAAGGTGAGTGAGAGGAAGAGAGGGGGAGAGAGGGAGCAACAGGAGACAAAGAGACAGTGAGAGGGCCAGCAGGCAGGTGAGGAGAGGCCGAGGCCTGCGAGAGGTGGTTCCGGAGAGACGCGGGAGGCGGGACACCTGTCCCCGGGACCTGTGAGCCGGGTAAGCTCCCTAGCTGGGCTGGGACGCGCTGGCTGGTGTACATTCCTCATGCCACTAGCTTGGCCCGGGCACTTGGCCAAGGTGGGGTGGAGGTGTGCGTGGGACAACAGGAGACAGGTAGCCTGGGGCGGCCGGAAGGAGGCAGGGCAGGGGGTCCCTTAGGCACAGAGAGGGTCAAATTCCTGGCCAGGGCACGGTGGGCAGCAAGAAAGAGGCCCCTATTCTCGGGCCTGGGCTGCAGACAGCTGCCCCTCCCCGCAGCTGCCAGTACCGCCTACCTCTCTTGGCATCGCCCTTGGTATGCGGGCCTGGGCCCTGGCCTCCCCCAGCCCCCGGTCCCTAAACAACAGTCTCTTTCTCTTTAGCCTCCTCCGACCTCTGCGCCCCTGACCCCACTCTGTCCCCGGCAGGGTCCGCTGCAGAGACACAGCCCCTTTCTTCCTCTCCCCCAGCCCCTGATGGAGGAAGGCAGGCCCTGGAGCAGCCTCAGCCTGGCCAGCAGCACCTCTACCGTCTCCTCACTCAGCAACCTGAGCACCAAGGTTCGAGCTTCCCGGTGGGCACGGGGAGGAAGGCGCGGCTGTGGGCCACCCAGCCCCCTGTTTCCTTGCCCTGGGTTCTGAGCTGCTCCAAGGACCCTGGTGGTTAAGGACAGTATCGGGGGTCTGCCAGACAGAGTAGGGTCCCAGATCCCACCCGCACTCCGCCCCCAGCACAGCTAGGATTTCAGAGGCACGCCCAGCTCTGACCCCGCCCCTCATATTTTCCTAATTCTAAGACTAGCAACCTCCACTGACCCTGCTTGCTAAACTGGAGGCCACTCCCTAGCCGTGAGGCGGCTCTAGGAACTCTAGTGGCTGTGGGACACTCCCTGTGCTCTCTCTGGCCATCACTCTACCCACTCATGAAACCCTATGAAGAAAGCCCCTTCTCTGACGGTCAAGGCCAGCTCCCTGCCCCCCGGGTCGTCACCACGGTCGCGAGTCCAGTTGCAGCCTCTTTTCCCTGTCCTCCTGCTCACACGCTTCCCGCTCCCCAGGTTCGGGGCGCAGAGACCCGGCCCCACTTCTAAGGAAGGGTGCATTGCAGCCGGCAGGGGGAGGCAGCCCCATCTGGGCGGGCGGGGGTAAGGGCCCCCTTCTCCTGCAGGTGGTCACCAGGGGAAGTCAGCGCATTGGACAATCCAGGGACTCGGCCGGAAGTGCCTCCTGATGCCGGAGCTCCCTGCCAGTATTCAAGTTCAAATGCCAAGGGCTTCGCCACACCCGGGACTCTCGTGGCTAAGGGAGCAGACTGCAGATTCCCGAGTCCCCCCCACTCCCCACAGCCTCTCCCCTTCTCCAAGCACTGCCCCCCGTCTGCCCATCAGCTGTGCGGTACAGACCCTGGATCTCCAGCAGGGCCCAAGGGCAGCTGGCCGAGGGCCCACGGCTGCCTGCGCCTCGTGTCCGTCTGGAGGCCCGGTTCACCTCTGACCCCTTCTCTCCTCAGAAGCCCACCAGGGCAGTCAACAAGGTGCACGCCTTTGGGAAGAGAGGCAATGCGCTCAGGAGGGACCCCAACCTGCCCGTGCACATCCGAGGCTGGCTTCACAAGCAGGTGCCGTCGGGGGGAGGGGCAAGGCCAGTGCAGGCTGGGGCCCTGGCTGCCCGCGGAGTCTCGCCTCCCAGGTTCCCGCTGTGTTCCCGCCGTCACTGCCTCTCCCCTTGTCCTGCCGTTGCGTCTCTCACTGGCTCATTCACGCGTTCGTTCAATGACGCTTAAAACGTTCCTGGTCCCAGGGCACACACCATGCACGTGACATTTGGGAGGGGGGAACTGGGCAGAGATAGGTCGTAAGTTAGTAAATCAATAAATGGATTTTGGGGCTGGTGCCGTGGCTCACTTGGTTAATCCTCCGCCTGTGGCGCCGGCATCCCATATGGGCGCCAGGTTCTAGTCCTGGTTGCTCCTCTTCCAGTCCAGCTCTCAGCTGTGGCCCAGGAGTGCAGTGGAGGATGGCCCAAGTGCTTGGGCCTGCACCCCACGGGAGACCAGGAGAAGTACCTGACTCCTGCCATCGGATCAGCGCAGCGCGCCGGCCGTAGCAGCCATTTGTGGGGGTGAACCAATGGAAGAAAGACCTTTCTCTCTGTCTCTCTCTCTCACTGTCTAAATCTGCCTGTCAAATTAAAAAAAGTCTTGAAAAAAAAAAAGGATTTGTTCATTTCAGAGGCTAGGAAGCGCTGTGAAGAAATGGCAGAGCAGGGTGGGCGTTTGGCCTGGTGGTGAAGTACCGGGGTTTGAGTTCTGCTTCTTCTCCCCGTCCCACCGTCCGGCCAGAGCAGACCCTGGGAGGCACCACGTTGTTGGGTCTCTGCCACCCGTGTGTGAGACCCAGATGAGATTCTGGCTCCTAGCTTTGGCCTGGCCCAGCCCTGGCTGTTACGGGCATTTGGGGAGTGAACCAGCACATAGGAGCTCCCTTTCTGTCTTTCACACAAATAAAAGTCTTCAAAGAGGAGGAAACACAGATGCGTGTACTGGAAAGTGGCTGAGGCCAGGGCGAGTTCTCACTCAAAAGGCCTCTGAGCTGAGAACGGAATGGCAGGAAGTAGCTCACCGTGCGAGTGTCTCTGGGGATAAGGGACATCCCAAGGGAGCCGTGTGGCAGAAGGCAAGAGCTTGGTGTTTGGACGCAGCCACGGGAGGAGAGGCGGGAGGGCCTGCGGGCCGTGGTTCTCGGAGAGAAGTCCCTGGGGATTGGCTGGAAAACCACCATCGGATTGCATCCCCGCGTTCCTGAGTTGGGAACCCTGGGGCTGGGGCTCTGGCCTCTCTGTTCGAACACAGCTTCCCAGGGGCTCTTAGGCAGGTGCTAGTTTGAGACGCCTTCCCAGGCTCCGGGAGAAATGAGCCGGATCTCAGTGTGGCAAGCCGCTGTCCCAGGGCGGGTGTTTGGTGCGCTGGTTAAGATGCCCGCATCCCCTATAGGAATGCTTGGGTTTCGGGCTGGCTCTGCTTCCCACCCAGTGCCCCGCTGACATGCACCCTGGGAGGTGAGGGCGACGGCCCAGGCGCCCCTATAGGGGCCCAGGTGGAGTTTTGGGCTCCTGGCTCGGGGCTGGCCAAATCCCAGCTCTTGTGGCTCTTTAGGGGTGAAGCAGTGGCTCGAGGATCTCTCTCTAATAAAATGAAAGTAAGTAAGAAATTGGAAACAGGCCGGCGCCGTGGCTCACTAGGCTAATCCTCCGCCTAGCGGCGCCGGCACACCGGGTTCTAGTCCCGGTCGGGGCACTGGATTCTGTCCCGGTTGCCCCTCTTCCAGGCCAGCTCTCTGCTGTGGCCAGGGAGTGCAGTGGAGGATGGCCCAGGTGCTTGGGCCCTGCACCCCATGGGAGACCAGGAAAAGCACCTGGCTCCTGCCATCGGATCAGCGCGGTGCGCCGGCCGCAGCGCGCCGACCGTGGCGGCCATTGGAGGGTGAACCAACGGCAAAGGAAGACCTTTCTCTCTCTGTCTCTCTCTCTCACTGTCCACTCTGCCTGTCAAAAATTAAAAAAAAAAAAAAAAAAAGAAATTGGAAACAGAGAGAAAGCCCCTGTCTCCATGTGGTACATCCTCTTCCCCAAACTTCCCTGAAACTTCTCAGCCCCCGACTGACAGGTGAGAGAGGATGAGGGCTCTCTGGGAAAACGCGTGTTCATGCTTTAAAAGGGACGGAGCCGCTCCTGTACCCGCGTGCCCAGAATCCACGTCCACTCCCACACACTGACTTCCGGCCACCAAGGCCACCAGCTCCAACATGTGTCTCTGTCCCTCCCTCTCCCTGACCTGTGTGGCTGGCTCAGTCTCCCTGCCTGCCTCCATCCCGCTCCCCCCAAGTCTCTCTCTGGCTCTCTGCCTACCCCCCACCCCCGTGTTACCCATCTCCATCTCCTCCCTCCTCTCCTCTCTCTCCCCAGGACAGCTCTGGGCTCCGGCTTTGGAAACGCCGCTGGTTCGTCCTCTCCGGCCACTGCCTCTTCTACTACAAGGGTCAGTGTCCAAGCTGGCAGGGTGGGAAGGCCCCAGCCTTCCCCTGAGCCTCGTGGCCTCCTACCCCCCGCCCCCCGAGTGATCCCAGCCCCCTCTTTGCAGACAGCCGCGAGGAGAGTGTCCTGGGCAGTGTCTTGCTGCCCAGCTACAGTATCAGGCCGGATGGGCCGGGAGCCCCCCGAGGCCGGCGCTTCACCTTCACGGTGAGTCTGTCAGTGGGGCTGGAGGGGTGCAGGGTGTGTGGGTGCAGGGACAGCCATGCCTGGATAGCAATCGCCTTGACCAGGTCCATGGCGGCCGGGTCCCAAGCGCTCCCTTCCCGCAGGCGGAGCACCCAGGCATGAGGACCTACGTGCTAGCCGCTGACACATTGGAGGACCTGCGGGGCTGGCTCCGCGCGTTGGGCAGGGCCTCCCGCGCGGAGGGGGACGAGGGGTGAGTGGGAGTCCAGGCTGTGCCCCTGGACCTGTACCTCCATTCTGAGGCAGTCCCAGCACCCCAAACTTCTGCGGGCGCTGCAGGCTGGAACGTCCAACCCCGGGTCTTCCAGCCAAGGGGACCACCCCCACCTGTCACTCAGGCCCCGCCCCCAGGGAGTTCTCTTCCAATCAGCATAGAGACTCTCCCTTAAGCCCCACCCACCAACCTTCCAGCCCCACCCATCATCAATGTTGAGCGCTCCGATTGGCTCCGTCAGAAGCCTGTCTGTCAGATAAAAGACAAGGTCAGGTTTTGTTTGTTTGTTTGTTTTTAAATGAGAGCTTGTCTTTAAGGCTCTGCCTAAGCCTGTCCCAATTCTCGGGCTGGAACTGGATTCCTTGGCTCGGCCTACTTCAGAGTCCCAGGCATTGGGTTCCGCGAGCGGTGTGGACCCTGTGGCCTAGCCCCGGTCGCTTCCTCCATCCCTCTCTGCGAAATGGAAGCCGTGACCTCCCCTTCTGGGGCGCATCGCCGCGTCCCCGTGTGTGAAGACGGCGTTCAAAGCAGTGACATCCCTGCGTGTGCCCGCTCTGCAGGGGCAGACCCAGGTCCCCGGCTCGTCCCCAGCCGGCGGAGGGCCCTGGCGGCCCTGGCGGCCCTCCGGAGGTGGGCAGAGGCGATGAGAGGCGCGTCTCGGAGTCGCCAGAGGTGGCTCGCCTCGCCAGAGGTCGGGGCCGGCCGCGGCTGCTCACCCCCAGCCCCACAGCCGACCTACAGTCTGGACCCCGGGCTCGGAGGGCGAGAAGCCCGGAGTGAGTGGGACGGGGGCGTGGTCTCCGAGGAGGGCGGGGCCGGGCGGGGCGGGGCCTAGCGCCTTCTGAGGGGCTTGTGTGTGAGTGGCGAGGGTGTTTTGGGGTGGGAATTGTGGGGATCCAGCCCGTAGGGGAGGATTCTACTGAGAGACGGGAGGTAGGGGCCATGGAGACGTGCGCTTCAGGCTGGCCTGAGGGGTCCTGAGGTGCCTGGTGTGGGTGGGGCGCCGGTTGACTCAGTTTCCCGCTTCTTCCCGCAGCCTGTTTACACCCCTTTCTCGCCCTCCGTCCCCTCTGAGCCTCCCACGTCCTCAGTCTGCTCCTGCGCGGCGACCCCCACCCTCCTCAGGAGACGCAGCACCCCCGGCCCGACCTCACACCCCGCTGAGTCGCATTGATGTTCGGCCTCCTGTGCACTGGGGCCCCCAGCGCCAGATCCTCTCCCGGCCTCCTACCCCCCGCAGAGGACCCTCCTCTGAGGCCGAAGGGGGCAGGCCCCCCAGGAGCCCCCAGCGCTGGAGTCAGGAGCCCAGAACACAGGTGAGCGGAGAGGGGACACTCTGGGCATCGTGGGTACCATCCTCACAGCTTGGCACAGCTGTGAAAACATGGACTCTATCTCCCATCAGGCACCTCGGCTGCCCTGCCAAGCTTGCCGGTGGCCGTTGTGCCTTAAAGCATCATGGGGATTGTAGTCCAGAATGCTCTGGGCACCTCGGTTAATCTTCCCACATTGGTCTCCTGCCCCTTTTTCCTCTCAGCATCGTGGGGTTGGAGTCCAGAAGATATCTAACTAACTTTCATCAGTGCTTGAGGCTGTGTGGCCTGGAGAATCCATTTATTTTATTTAACTATATTTAAAGAGTGGCAGAGAGATACAGACAGGGGTCTGTCATTTGCTGGTTCACTACCCAAATGATCACAGTAGTGGAGCCTGGGCCAGGCGGAAGCCAGGAGCCAGGAACTCCACCCAGGTCTCCCAGGCGCGTTGGCTGGACGCCACATTGGAAGCACGGTGGCCAGGATGCCGCTGGCACTCCGACAGGGGATGCGTAACCTGCCGCTCCTGGGAGCGCACCTGTCGTCCTGAGTCCCCATGGTGGCGCACGGCTGGGCCCGGCTTTTGAGGAAGTGGAGCCTCCAGAGTTCTCCTAAACACTTCAGTTCTGTGCTGTGATGTTTGTTACTAAGACAGGCCAGTTTCTAAACGTCTCCATGTTAACGTTCCTCCAGGCCCCCTCTGGCTCCTCCACTTACCTCCGGCTCCCTCCGCGGCCTCCAGGGACCCGGGCCTCCATGGTTTTGTTGGTAGGTACCCCGGGCTTCCTCTGCTGTGTGGGGTCCGTTCTCAGGCCTGCGCTGCCCCGGGGAGACTGGGTATCTCAAGGTGCTTGGAAAGGTGCTTATGTTCCCCTACTGGGGCCGCGGTAGCCAAGCGCCGCCAGCGGGGTGACCAACAATAACAGGCACGTGTTCCCTCTGCGGCTCTGAAGGCCGGCAGTCTGCAGGGCTGTGCTCGCTTTGAAGGCCCTGGGGAGGGCCTTTGCTTGCCCGTCTCCTAGCTTCCGCTGACAGCAGGCCCTGGCGGCCCCATCACCCCAGCCTCCGCTGCGTCACCACCCGGCCATCTCCCTTTGGGGCTGCCTGTGTGCCTCCTCCTATGACATTAGCATGACATCATCGTAACTCACGCTGCACCTGCAGACGCCCTATTTGCATATGAGCTCACCTGCCCAGGTACATGGTTGGGAGCTGAACATGCTGCTTGTAGGACACAAGCGAATGGTCAGTAGAGCCCAAGGGCTTTCCGCTGGCAGGGCTGAAAGCAGTTCTGGAGATCTGTTCCAGGCAAGAAAGCCTAGGAGGGCGGGAGCTGCCTTCTGTGTCTTTCAGGAACTCCTTGGAGTAAGGGGGGGGGGGTGATGGGAGGGGCTGTCATGCCCTAGAAGTGGGCTTCATGGAGACCACAGTCTGAGCAGTGGCCACTCACAGCGGGGGAGGGACGTCTGGGGTGGCGCTGGAGGGCCTAGCAGGCCTGAGCCCGCGGCGTCTCGGATACTCCCAGGGGGCCAGCTGCTTCGAGCACCTGCCAACAGCGAGGGACTTTTGATGCAACAGCGCCCCTGTGCGTGTGCCTGGTTCGCGTGACTGGGTTCTGCACCTGTGCATTCAAGCAACCCCAGGCAGAAAACACGGTGGGGGGGGGATTGTTTTGAATTGAGTATACAGATTTTTTTCCTTGTCATTATTCCCTAAACAATTCAGTATAATAACTGTATTTTTTTAAAGATTTATTTATTTATTTATTTGAAAGGCAGAGTTACACAGCGAGGGGGAGAGACAGAGAGATCAATCTTGCATCCACTGGTTCACTTCCCAAATGGCCACAACAGCCAGGGCTGGGCCAGGCTGAGGCCAGGGGCTAGGAACTCCGTGCAGATCTCCCAAGCACTTGAGCCGTCTTCTGCGGCTTTCCCAGGTGTGTTAGTAGGGAGCTACATCGGAAGCAGAGCAGCTGGGACTGGAACGTGTGCTCTGGTGGGGACACTGGCGCTGCAGGTATCAGCTTAACCCGCTGCAGCACAGCGCCAGCCCAGGGACTCCTTGAATCCGAGTTCCTTCCTCTCCAGAGAGAAGCCAGCTTTCCTGTGGCCATCGGTCAGATGAGCCACCCTTTCCCATGGATTCCCCAGGCCACCTCTGTCACGTGTGCGTGGCCGGTCTCATCTGCTGATTCTGCGCCATTGGTCTCTTTGCTTACATGCCAAGCAAACTTACTTCTGTCTTTCTCTTCCAAAGGTAGCACTATGGCCTTGTGGCTGTGTATTCCCGTGAGGTGACGCAAGTCTACATTCACTCGTGAATCTGATGTGGGTTGGATTAGTGCGAGTTTCTCAGAGCTCCCCGCTGCTTGCTGTGAGGGGGCGGGTACTGCGGTGAATTTATGTCAGTCAAGGAGCATCTAACAGCTTCATAATATTGAAGTGTCTCATACAAGGCATGGACTGGCCGGCGCCGCGGCTCACTAGACTAATCCTCCACCTTGCGGCGCCGGCACACCGGGTTCTAGTCCTGGTCAGGGCACCAGATTCTGTCCCGGTTGTCCCTCTTCCAGGCCAGCTCTCTGCTGTGGCCCGGGAGGGCAGTGGAGGATGGCCCAAGTGCTTGGGCCCTGCACCCCATGGGAGACCAGGAGAAGCACCTGGCTCCTGCCATCGGATCAGCGCGGTGCACTGGTCGCGGCGGCCATTGGAGGGTGAACCAATGGCAAAGGAAGACCTTTCTCTCTGTCTCTCTCTCTCACTGTCTACTCTGCCTGTAAAAAAAAAAAAACAAACAAACAAGGCATGGACTATCTTTTCATTCATTCAGGTCATCTCCTAGGTCTGTTTTTTCAAGTTTTCGATTTTTTTCCCCCATAGAGATCTTGTATATTCAGGTATAGCAACTCCTATACCTGAATTCCTGTTGTGTGTGTGTGTGTGTGTGTGTGTGTGTGTGTAGAAAAATACGAAACATAAAATGTACCATATCAATACCTTTTTAAAAATTAAAAAAGAAATTCCAAATCTGTTTCTTTGAGAGGCAGAAGGAAATCTCCCATCCACTGGTTCACTTCCCGAACACCCGCATGGCTGGAGTTGGGCCAGGAGCCGGGAACTGAATCCAGGTCTCCCGTGTGGGCAGCAGGGACCCCATTGCCTGAGCCATCACTGCGGCCTCCCAGGGTCTGCATGAGCGGGAAGCTGTGGCCAGGAGCCGAGGCTGAGGACCCAACCCAGGCGCTCCCATGGGGGACGTGGGTGCCTTAACCAGTCTCTTCTCCACTTGGCGAAACGCCCATCCTTAACCACTTCTAAGTGTGCAGTTCAGTTATGTGTGCTTAAACACATTACAATCAAATGAAACAGATCTCTAGAACTTGTCTATCTTGGGGCTGGTTCTGTGGCGTAGCAGGTAAAGCCGCCGCCTGCCGTGCTGGCATCCCATATGGGCGCTGGTTTGAGTCCCAGACGCTCCACTTCCGATCCAGCTCTCTGCCATGGCCTGGGAAAGCAGTAGAAGATGGCCCAAGTCCCTGGGCCCCTGCACCCATGTGGGAGACCTGAAAGACGCTCCTGGCTCCTGGCTTCAGATTGGCGCAGCTCCAGCCGTGGCAGCCATATGGAGAGTGAACCAGCGGATGGAAAACTCTCTCTGCCTCTGCCTCTCTGTAACTCTGCCTTTCAAATAAAAAATAAATAAATCTTAAAATAAATTTTAAAAAGCACGTGTCCATCTTGTACAACCCTGTTCCTTTTGAACAGCTCACTGTTCCCTCCCACAGCCTCTGGAACCCACTGCCCTGCTGTGTGTGTCAGTCGGTTTAGCTGTGTGCATCTGTTGGGTTAGCTGTGTGCATCTGTCAGTTTAGCTGTGTGCATCAGTTGGTCTAGCTGTGTGTGTCAGTCGGTCTAGCTGTGTGCATCTGTCGGTTTAGCTGTGTGCATCTGTCGGTCTAGCTGTGTGCATCTATCGGTCTAGCTGTGTGCATCTGTCGGTTTAGCTGCAGACTCCTCATGGGAATAGAACCCCGTGGAACTGGACTTTGGGGACTGACTGATTTCATGGAGCCCGGTGTCTTCAAGGCTCTTCTCTGTTCGTGCAGCGGGACTCGCTTTCTGTACAGCCTGAGTGGTGTTTGCATGGATCGATCACACTTCATCTGTTCACACGTCATGATCGGAGAGTTTGGGTCTGCTCTTTGGCTATTATGTGCAGTGCCGCGACAGACTGGGTGTGCCAAGATCTCTTCAATGCCCTGCTTTCCATGCTTTTGGAGATGAGCCTTCCTGGTGGTTTTAAAGCCACTCGAATGGGGTCTTACGTTCTCATTGTGTTTCCCAGTTCTTAATGCTGTACAGCAGTGCCCTTCGTTTACGTGCCGTCCCCTTGCATCTGGGTCTCTGCCGAATCCACTCATTCGCTCTTGGATTCTGTTGCTTCTTTGGGGTGGAGGAACGTGCGACCTGTAAACATTGATGGCTTCACCGATCCCCCTCCTCTCCTTAGACCTTCCCGTTTCCCCTCTTTATAGCACTGGTCAGGGTCTCCGGTGCCACGTTACACCGTAGTGGCCAGTCAGCTAAAGTTTCCCCATGGATTCTGCCGTTTGCTGTCGCTGTTTGATCCCATTGAATGTTCCGAAGCTGACGCTCAGAGGGGCGCTAACAAGCAGAGGGGGATAAAACGGGCAGGGCTCAGTGAGCTACGGTGGGGACCTGTGTGCACCCTTTGACCTTTGACTTCTCCCCCTCTTCAGCCAGGTCCCCCCTTGGACTCAGCCTTCCACCAAAATTTGGAGACAGATGTAAGTTCTCCCGAATCTAACCCCTGCTGCTCTCCGACCAGGGGAGGGAGTGTTCCGGATGGTGGTAGGGGGCGGGGGGTGCGTGCATAAGTAGCTCCTGTTCTTCCTCCAGACTCTGCTGACCAAGCTGTGTGGGCAGGACCGGCTCCTCAGGAGGCTGCAGGAGGACCTGGACCAGAAGCAGGAGGAGAAGGTGCCGGAGGGCCCCAGCCCCTCCCCTGCCCTTAGCCCTCCCTGACTGTCGGGTCCGGATGCTGGGTGGATGGCAAGGTGGGGGATGCTTGCCCTCTCCTGTGGCCGGGGGTGGCCTCGGAAGCCTGACCACCTCCCTGTCGCTGCAGGAACAGCTGGAAGCAGCCCTGGAGTTGACCCGGCAGCAGCTGAGCCAGGCAACCAGAGAGGCTGGGGCTCCCGGGAGGGCCTGGGGGCGCCAGCGCCTCCTGCAGGACCGACTGGTCAGCGTGAGGGCCACCCTCTGTCACCTGACTCAGGTGAGCCCCGGGGAAGGGGGAGGCCCTCCCAGGGGGTCCTTGGGGGGCACATCCATGGACTCACGGGAGCGTTCCTCAGAATTCCAGCCTCTTAAACTCTAAACCAGGAACCGGGGCCATCCCAGGGCACGGGAGACAAGCGTAAGGTCCACAACTTAAGTCAGCACTTTCAGAGGGTGATTTCATTTTTTAACTTTTTAAATTTATTTTTAAAGATTTTATTTATTTTGAAAGATTATTTATTTGAAAGGCAGTGTGAAAGACAGAGATTCTGTGTGCTAGTTCATGGCTAAAATGGTCACAACAGCCCAGCCGAAGCCAGCAGCGTGGAACTCTGTGGAAGTCTCCCACATGGGTGCAGGGCCCAAGTACTTGGCCATCGTCCGCTGCTTTCCCAGGTGCGTTAGCAGGGAGCTGGACCAGAAGTGGAGCAGCCGGGATTCCAACCGATGCTGGCATGTCAGGCAGCATCTTAATCCATTATACCGCCACATCGGCCCCTAGTTTTTAAATTGTTTTGAAGATTTACTTATTTGTTTGAGGGCGATGGAGAAAGGTCTTCCATTTTTCCATCTGCTGATTCACTCCCCACGTGGCTACGACAGCCAGCACTGGGCCAGGCGGAGGCCAGGAGCAAGGACGTCCATTCTGGTCGCACACTTGGGTGGCACGGGCCCACTGCTGCCTTCCCAGGTGCTTTACAGGGTGGCCGGGACTTTAGCCGGCGCCCGGGCTCAGGCAGCAGCTGACCCTGCCACATCACACACTGGCGCCCCTAAGAGGGTGATGTTAACGTGGGCTTCCTGGATCCGAATCTCGACTCCCACTCCTAGTAGCTGTGTGACCTTGAGAAGAGTCACTTAACCTTTCTGGGCCTTAGGTGCCTCCTAAAAATAGTATTTACTTTGTAACGTCACTGTGAAGATTGCACGTGTGTGTGTAAATGAATGACTAAACCAGTGAAGGACCCATGACTTGGCTATAATTATGACATATGCATGATGTAGACAGATGCTTACATGGTGAGATTATTGTTTACGTGTCTGTAAGGCGGAGACAATCACAGACCCCTCCTCACGAGAATTAAGCGGGTGTGTAAGCTGCTGTTGTGACGGTCAGTGGTGTGGCGAGGAGGTTTGTGCTGCCCAGAGGTGTGTGGCTGCCGTGGCACTGGTGTCAGCTGTGTAGACTCTGCCCCCGTGGAGTAGCTGTGATGTCAGCTGTGTAGACTCTGCCCCTGTGGAGTAGCTGTGACATCAGCTGTGTAGACTCTGCCCCTGTGGAGTAGCTGTGACGTCAGCTGTGTAGACTCTGCCCCCCCCATGGAGTAGCTGTGACGTCAGCTGTGTAGACTCTGCCCCCGTGGAGTAGCTGTGACGTCAGCTGTGTAGACTCTGCCCCGTGGAGTAGCTGTGACGTCAGCTGTGTAGACTCTGCCCCCGTGGAGTAGCTGTGATGTCAGCTGTATAGACTCCACCCCCATGGAGTAGCTGTGACATCAGCTGTGTAGACTCTGCCCCCGCCATGGAGTAGCTGTGACATCAGCTGTGTAGACTCTGCCCCACCCTGTGGAGTAGCTGTGACATCAGCTGTGTAGACTCCGCCCCCGTGGAGCAGAAGTAACCCTGGGATTCCGGGAACGCTGTTCTTGGTCCACACCAGCAGCTCACTGGAACTGCAGGTTCTACCAGGTGCTGGAGCCCCACCTGGGGATTATTGTCTGTGTATCCCAGGGCACGGGAAGCAGGCTCCCTCCCTTCTTGTCAGCCGTGGAAAGGTGGGGTGGGGATGGTGGAGTGAGTGCTGACCTCGTGTCTCCTGTGTTCTGGAACCTGAGGAGCGGGAGCGGGTCTGGGACATCTATAGCGGCCTGGAACAGGAGCTGGGCACCTTACGGGAGACGCTGGAGTACCTGCTTCACCTCGGGTCACCCCAGGTACCTCCCTGCTGCGGAGCCTCCGGCCCTCTGTCCACTCTAAGTTCCCCTGGAAGCCTTCTTGTCCTTGGGGTGGGGGTGGGGGCTCCTGCTGTCTGTCCTTTCCTCCTGAGGCGCTTGGTTTGCAGACCGACTTTGAGATTCAGAGCCACTCTCCCCTGGTTCTACTCACGGCGCAGCCTCCTCTCCGTATGCAAATTCAGCTTTTGAGTCAGCACCCTGCCTTCACTGTTGCTTCTGTCCTCTGCAGCCTCAAGTTCTAGGCCCAATCCTGAGTTCAAGCCCCACTCCTAACATATAAGCCCAGTGCTCAGCCTCAGTCCCACTCCTCCTAAGCACAGCCGTGGCATTCTACATCGCGTGTGTGTAGTTGAAAACATTACCCTCTAGTTAAATCTGTGAAGTGCCTCTTCCCAGATTTAAGCCCCACTGTCTTCACCGTGAGCCCCTCCTACTTCATCCTAAAATCCACCCCATGACTCCAGTCCACTGCCTACTGGACTTAAATACATCTTGGCACCAACAACACATAAAAAGAACAATGGGTAACACCCAAATTGGGTTTATTACAGGAATGCAAGGTTAGTTTAACATTTGAAAACCAGATCATGTGTTTCACGATATTTAAGAAAATAAAGGCAAATAGATGAATGGATGCAGGAAAACATATCACAGATATGTTGGAAGTGAAGCCATTTTTACGTGCAGATGACATGTAATGTCGAAAATCCAAAATAATTTCCAGTTAAATTAGATAAGCAAATTCAGGAAGGTGAATATGCAAAAACCAACTATCTTTCTATGTGTTAGTGCCAAACAGTTGGAAAATGAATATGTAAAAACTATATAATTTATAATAACAGAAAAAGGGATAAGTCTAATTAAAGATATGCAAGACACTTATTCTGAGAACCACAAACATCAAAGAGAAACTGAAGACGACCTATAGACATGAGGAGGTATACCATGTTTATGGACAGGAAAAGCTTTAGTCTCCCCACACCCATGTCTCCAACAGAGATCTGCATTTCTGACACACATTCAGAAGATTTTCATGGAGATTAACAAGTTGACACTAAATTATATTTGGAAATGCAAAAGGCCAAGACAATCTCCAGGAAGAACAAAGTTTGAGGACCAACACAACTGGATGTGCCCTGTGACGATAAAGCCTCACTGAACAGTGTCACAGAGCAACAAAACTAGCCTAAGGGATGGAAGGAGGTGTTCAGAGACAGACTCCCAGGTATTTGTATGGTCATCTCTTCATGACAGAGGTAACACCGCAGAGGAGTCTTCAACCCAGTTGGACATCCAGATAGATAGATAGAGATCCATATAGACCTTAACACCCTAGCATAACCCTCCCTATGACATGTCAGCCAGAACCCGCCGGTCCCACCTCTGCATCACAAACTCCTCTCATTCCCCCAGGACCGCGCCTCTGCCCAGCAGCAGCTGTGGATGGTGGAGGACACCCTGGCAGGTCTGGGTGGCCCCCAGAAGCCACCCCCCCACACTGAGCCTGACTCCCCGTCGCCCGCACTCCAAGGGGAGGAGTCCTCAGAGAGGGAGGTGAGAGTCACACCCCTTGCTCCTCATCCCCAGCTTCCTGTCTCTTCCTGCGAGGCCCTGGCCCTGCCCCACCCCCCATCCTCTTTCCCAGGTTAGTTCTTAGCATGGTGCCAACCTTGTGCCTGGGCAGCTAACCAAGTTCCGGCAAGCAGTCTAACTCATGGAAGCCTCTCATTCCTTATTTGCTATCCAGGCGACACTGGGTAGCCATGGTGGGGGATTGGTCCCAGGATCCCCTGCGGCTGTAGAGGCTTAAGTTTCGTGTACAAAATCAGGCAGCACTTGCATACAACCTAGTGCATAGCCTCTCGTGAACTTACACCCGTCTCTACATGACTTGTGATACCCACTACATAAATGCTCTTGAACCGTCATCCTATTTCAGGAAACGATGACAAGAAAGAAAAGTCTGCACGTATTTGGGATAGCAATCTTCCATCTCTGGTTGAATCCACATGTGCAGAACGTGTGTGGGGGGTGACTGTGTCACCCCACATTCCTGTGCTGTGGGCCCAACAACTCCCAAGGCCGGCTGCGAGCGCCCCTTCCCAAGCCCTCAGTCAGATTCCGTGAGCTCAGCCTTGTGGGGAGCCCTCGGCCCACAGATCTGGGCGAGCGCTGCCAGTCAGGGCTGCTGCTGCCCCAGACACTGCTGCTTGTCGTGCTCGGCTCGCAGGGCTCTGCGGGGCAGCAATGGTGCCTGGAGCGTGTGTGGCACACAGTGGACCCTCGGGAAGTGGGGCCCCGGGTGCCACGGCTGGGTTAGAGACACTGCTTGCTCCAGCCTTCAGACAGTGCATCTGAAAGACCTGCTCAGCTTGGCTATGTTTGTGCCATCAGCCGTTACATCTCCCTCTCTCTCTTTAAATACACACACACACACACACACACACACATATCTATCTATCTATCTATCTATCTATCTATCTATCTATCTATCTTTCGCTATCTGATTTATTTATTTGAAAGGCAGAGAGAGAGAGAGAGAGAGGTCGGTCTTCCATCCACTGGTTCACTCCCCAAATGGATGCGACAGCCAGGGCTGGGGCTGCTGAATCCAGGAGCCTGGACTCCCCCCAGGTCTCTCGTGCAGTGGGCAGGGACCCCGCACTTGGGCCGTCGTCTGCTGCCTTCCCAGGCACCTTAGCGGGGAGCTGGACTGCAAGTGCACAGTAGCTGCTCCAGTATGGGATGCAGGTGTCCCTCGAGGCGGCCTAACCCACGTGGCCACACACTCCACGTTTACCATCAAGGCCTTCCTGGCCCTGTCTCACTTGAACAGTGGGAACGGTAATGATAACTTTCACTCCTCTCTCCCGACCCCTGCAGAGCCTGCCTGAGTCCCTGGAGCTGAGCTCTCCCCGCTCCCCGGAGGCTGACTGGGGGCGGCCCCCGGGGGGCGACGGAGACCCGGCCAGCCCTCGCGCAGGTGAGCATTCCGGTGGGGTGGGGTCTCTGGGTGGTCCCACCCTCACCGACACCTGTGCCATCCTTGCAGGTCTCGGGTCTCCAAAGATGTCCCGGGCCCCCAGCCCCGAGGGTCCCCGCTCCACATCCCCACAGCCAGGAGCCAAGGTAGGCCATCTGGGGTCCCCCTAGGTCCATCTTTTATTTATTTTTTTTGACAGGCAGAGTGGACAGTGAGAGAGAGACAGAAAGGTCTTCCTTTTGCCATTGGTTCACCCTCCAATGGCTGCCGTGGCTGGTGCGCTGCGGCGGGCGCATCGCACTGATCCGATGGCAGGAGCCAGGTGCTTCTCCTGGTCTCCCATGGGGTGCAGGGCCCAAGCACTTGGGCCATCCTCCACTGCACTCCCGGGCCACAGCAGAGAGCTGGCCTGGAAGAGGGGCAACTGGGACAGAATCCAGCGCCCCGACCAGGACTAGAACCCGGTGTGCTGGCGCTGCAAGGCGGAGGATTAGCCTGTTGAGCCGCGGCACCGGCTAGGTCCATCTTTTGACCTGACTGCCATGGACCCCCCCCCCCCACATTCCTGGGGACAGACCTGGGAGAAGCGAGTTCTAAAACCAGAGCAAATTGCACTAATTGGTGCCAGAAGCAGCAGCAGATCCAAGCTATCTCCCTGGAATTCTTACTCATGTATTTGAAAGGCAGAGAGATCTGAATCGCCAGTTCACGCCCCTAATGGCTACACCGCCAGGACTGGGCCAGGTCAAATCCAGGAGCAGGGAGCTCAGTCCGGGTCTTCACAGAGGCTGCAGCAACCCAGCTGCTTTATCCGTTACCTGCTGCTTCCCGGGTAAACTTGAGCTCGAAATGGAAATTCGAACCGGAGCTGGGACTCAAATCCAGGCGTTCAGATACGGAGTCCGGCTCCCAAGGGGCATTTTAACCTCTGCACAAAGGCTTGGCAGCAACCCTGGACCTTCTTTTCTTTATTTATTTGAAAAGCAGAGTTAGAGAGAGGCAGAGAGAGAGAGAGAAAATCTTCCATCCGATGGTTCACTCCCCAAATGACTGCAACAGCCAGAGCTGCACCGATCTGAAGGCAGGAACCAGGAGCTTCCTCCAGGTCTCCCACATGGGTGCAGGGGCCCAAGGACTCGGGCCATCTTCCACTGCTTTCCCAGGCCACAGCAGGGAGCTGGAATGGAAGTGGAGCAGCCGGGACTCGAACCAACGCCCATATGGGATGCTGGCACTGCAGGGGGAGGCTTTACCACAGCACCGGCCAGGCTCCTCCTGAAGACACTGGGCTAGGAGCTGTTCCAGGCATCTGAGCGTCTGGCAGTCCCTTGGCCTGGGACGGCAGAGCCAGCTTTCGGGGGGCCTTGTGCCCCTGTGTGCCCTTTGCACATCCAGGCTTGCCCGTCTCTGGAAGGAAGCAGGCCGCATGGCTCCCTTGGCCCGCTTTCCTGCCTGTGGGGTCGGAGCCCGACAGCCTGCGCTCCTTCTGTCCCATCTCTGTCCCCTCCGTTCAAGCTGAGAGGACCCACTGGACCCACCTGTCACTCACCATGGCCTAACCACTTAGCAGCCGGAGCCCAGCCCCACCCGCGGTGTCCTTCCGGGGCTGGAAGTCTGTGCAGGTTCCCTGGGCTTGTGGCAGAAGCAGAGGGGGAAGGGCATTTACGACGCCCTGCCAGCCTGACGCCTCTGCAGCCAAGGAGTCCCGTCTCTCCTCTTGTCCTGGAAGCCGGTGCGAGTAGCTTCTGTCGCCAGAGCTCGGGGGTCTACACTGGCGGCCAGGGAAGTTGGGGTGCTTCCTTCTGCTGGGGTCACAGCTTAAACTGCGGCAGCGGGCCCGGAGGAGGGTGCAGCCCCGGCCCCGGCCCTCCAAGGCCTGTCCCTGTGGTCAGGGTGAGCAGGGGCCGGCCAGCGCCAGCGCCAGGAGTGGAAAGACCCCTGGGAGATGCTGTGACTGTGCTAAGCACGAGGCTGCAGGCTGAGCGGCTCAGGGGAAAGGGAGAAGGAGGAGGCCCACGGTGGGGCAGCTGGGGGTCTCTCATCTCCCTAGGCCCCCGTGGCCCGGCCCCGGATGAGTGCCCAAGAGCAACTGGAGCGCATGCGCAGGAACCAGGAATGTGGACGACCCCTCCCGCGCCCGGCCTCCCCCAGGCTCCTCACTCTGGGGAGGACCCTGACCCCCGCCAGACGCCAGCCGGACATGGAGCCAAGGGTGAGGGGGCCGGGGCGGGGAGCGGGGGCCCTCCACGCCGAGTTTGAGCCTCAGTTTCCCTGTCTGTGAAATGGGGACACGCCCCCACCTAACCCCAAGGGCCTTTCCTGATTCTTCCCAACTCGTGGTGTTCACTGGCTCCCCTGGCGGTGGCTCCCGGCTCAGGAATTCTAATGCCCCAGTTCCTTTGCAGCCGGTCCTAGGACACACGGGAGCCGCGAGATGGCTGAGAAGCTCGGGGTCCTGGAGTAGGTAAGGAACCGGAGGGCGGGTCAGGCACCGGGGACAGCAGTCTGCACACGGGGAGGGGCGGGGCGGGGCGTGTGGCTCCAGCCTCCCGAGTACCGAACTCACGAAGGGCGAAGCGTGCGTCTCTGGGGCGTCTGTGACAAACTCAGAGAGCGCTAGGGCCTCAGTGAGAACTGCAGGCGCCGTCACCCCCGGGGTGGACCTCAAACCCTGCCCTTCCGCACCAAGGAAATCGGGTAAAATATGGACGGCGGCTGGACTACAAATCCCATAATGCACGCGGGCGGCAAGAGCGTCGCGCCAAGCTTGAAGTCTCCGGAAGACACGTGCCGGGGACTACAACTCCCAGAAGGCCGCGCGCGCACCGCCGTCCCCGCCGCACACGCTCCCCCAACCTTCTTTTTCCTAGTCCGAGGAACGCTGCCCAGTCCCTGCCGCCGTCCGAAGGCCCCCGGGAGCGGGTCCTCAGCCTCTCCCAAGCCCTGGCCTCTGAGGCGTCACAGTGGCACAGAATGATGATAGGTGAGGGGCTGGGACTCTCGGACTGTTGGGTTTTAGGGTGGGGAGAGCGGGGGCCTTGCAACCCTAGGTCCTGGTGAGGAGCGGTCTGGGGCCCCGGGCTCCCGGGGGTCCGGAGGCCCGCGCCCGAAGCTTGCCAGCCTCGTTCTCCATGCGTCTCTCCAGGCGGAAACTTGGACTCCCGGGGAGACCCGCTCCCCGCCGCGCCGCCTGCCCCCTCGGACCCCACGCCGCCGGGGCCGCCTCCCGCGAGGTCTCCGGTGGCTAACTCCGGCTCCGCGGGCTTCTCGCGCAGAGGTAGCGGGCGTGGCGGAGGCCCCGCTCCCTGGGAGCGCGCGTGGGACTCCGGGCCGTCCGCCCCGGCTGAGAACCGGGATGAGGGGACGTGGCCGCTGCGGGTCACTCTGCTGCAGTCCAGCTTCTGAGCAGGCCGCCCCCAGCGCGAGGGGTGGGCAGGCGGTCCCGCCCGCGGGCCGGGGCCGGCGCCAGACGCGGGGTGGCCTGGTCCCCACCCGTGGCCTGGGGGACGTGTTTCCATGGCCGAAAATTGGTTTGCCGAACACTGTGCACATTAAGATTAAAACAACTTTTCGCCTCCAGTTTCTGTCTGTCTGGGGTGTGACTGGGGTCCTTGAGGGGCAGGCTGCAGTCCTGGACTCCCGGGCCCTGGAGGAGAAGGGACAGGGGCACAGTCTGAGGAGGGAGGCACACAGGATCCTGGACTCCTGGGTCTGAGGGAGGAGGAGTTAGACAACCAGATCCCTGGGTCTGCGGGAGGAAGCTGGGGCTGGACCCCGGGTCTGCAGGAGGAGGGGCTGGGGCTGGACCCCTGGGTCTGAGGGAGGAGGGGCTGGGGCTGGACTCCAGGTCTGAGGGAGGAGGGACTGGGGCTGGACCCCTGGGTCTGCAGGAGGAGGGGCTGGGGCTGGACCCCTGGGTCTGAGGGAGGAGGCTGGGGCTGGACCCCTGACTCTGAAGGAGGAGGGCTGGGCTGGACCCCTGGGTCTGAGGAAGGAGGGGCTGGGGCTGGACCCCCGGTTCTGAGGGAGGAGGGCTGGGACTGACCCTGTGTCTGAGGGAGGAGGGGCAGGGCTGGACCCCTGGGTCTGAGAGGGGAGGCTGGGCTGGACCCCTGGGTCTGAGGGAGGAGGGCTGGGCTGGACTCCTGGGTCTGAGGGAGGAGAGCCGGAACTGGACTCCTGTATCTGAGGGAGGAAGGTTGGTTTGGACCCCTAGATCTAAGGGAGGAGGGGCTGGGCTGAACCCCTGGGTCTGAGTGAGGAGGGGCTTGGGGCCTGCACCCCTGGGTCTGAGGGTGGAGGGCTGGGGCTGGACCATGGGTCTGAGGGAGGAGGGGCTGGGCCTGGACCCCTGGGTCTGAGGGAGGAGGTGCTATGGGCTGGACTCCTGGGTCTGAGGGAGGAGGGCTGGGCCTGGGCTCCTGGGTCTGAGGGAGGAGGGGCTGGGGCTGGACCCCTGGGTCTGAGGGAGGAGGGGCTGGGGCTGGACCCCTGGGTCTGAGGGAGGAGGGCTGGGCTGGACTCCTGGGTCTGAGGGAGGAGGGGCTGGGGCTGGACTCCTGGGTCTGAGGGAGGAGGGGCTTGAGGCCTGGACATCTGGGTCTGAGGGTGGAGGGCTGGGCCTGGACCCCTGGGTCTGAGGGAGGATAGGCTGGGTGCCTTGACTCTTGGTCTGAGGGAGGAGGTTCTGTGGTCTGGACTCCTGGGTCTGAGGGAGGAGGTTCTGTGGGCTGGACCCCTGGGTCTGAGGGAGGAGGGCTGGGGCTGAACCCCTGGGTCTGAGGGAGGAGGGTCTTGGGGCCTGGACCCCTGTGTCTGAGAGAGGAGGACTGCAGCCTAGACCCCTGGATCTGAGGGAGGAGAGGCTGAGGCTGGACTCCTGGGTCTGAGGGAGGAGGGGCCAGAACTGGACCCCTGGGTCTGAGGGAGGAGTGGCTGTTGGCCTGGTCTCCTGGGTCTGAGGGAGGAGTTCTGTGGGCTGGACCCCTGGATCTGAGGGAGGAGGCATGGGACCCAAGCTGAGGTCTCTGGCCTTCCTGATAACGCCCCCAGGGCGGGCCTTCTAGGGTCCATCCCCTGTGTGGGTTTCATTCTCGGAAAGACTGTGAGAGAGAGAGGAAGTGTCCATGGCCTCCGGGGCCCGCTATGCCGGGAAGGTTGTGGTCGTGACAGGAGCCGCGCGTGGCATTGGAGCCGGGATCGCGCGGGCCTTCGGTGAGTCAGGGTCCGGGGCTGGGAGGGGAAAGAAGGGGAGGGGAGATACTGGGTGTGGGAGGAAGGAGGTGGGATCCATGCAGGGGCCTGGGGCCGGGCACCCCCTGGTGTGCGGCTACAGAGCGGGTGGTTTGGGGCCTAGTTCTGTGCATATTTGGGGTTCTCCCTGGACCCTCCCCACCAGTTAGCACTGAGCCCAACGGGCAGCTGGAGTGGACAGGGCCTCATTGAGCCTCTGCCCTTTGTCCCCGGGGGCAGTCATGAGACTGGGGTGGGCGGGGTGGGGAGAGACTGGCTCAGGGCCTGTGGCCAGAAGAGGGCAGCCAAGGCCTGGGGCAAGGTCCACGCCTGCCTGTGGTGTAACTGCTCTCCTCCTTTGCCAGTGGACAGCGGGGCGCAAGTGGTTATCTGTGACAAGGACGGTGAGTGAGGGTCCTTAGTCCAGCCCCAGCCCTCCTCCCTCAGACCCAGGGGTCCAGCCCAGCCCTCCTCCCTCAGACCCAGGGGTCCAGCCCAGCCCTCCTCCCTCAGACCCAGGGGTCCAGCCCCTCCTCCCTCAGACCCAGGGGTCCAGCCCAGCCCTCCTCCCTCAGACCCAGGGGTCCAGCCCAGCCCTCCTCCCTCAGACCCAAGGGTCCAGTTCCGGCTCTCCTCCCTCAGACCCAGGAGTCCAGCCCAGCCCTCCTCCCTCAGACCCAGGGGTCCAGCCCAGCCCTCCTCCCTCAGACCCAGGGTCCAGCCCAGCCCTCCTCCCTCAGACCCAGGGGTCCAGCCATGGCCCTCCTCCCTCAGACCCAGGGGTCCAGCCCAGCCCTCCTCCCTCAGACCCAAGATTCAGCCCAGCCCTCCTCCCTCAGACCCAGGGGTCCAGCCCAGCCCTCCTCCCTCAGACCCAGGAGTCCAGGCCCTCCTCCCTCAGACCCAGGGTCCAGCCCAGCCCTCCTCCCTCAGACCCAGGGTCCAGCCCCAGCCCTCCTCCCTCAGACCCAGGGATCCAGGCCCTCCTCCCTCAGACCCAGGGTCCAGCCCAGCCCTCCTCCCTCAGACCCAAGATTCAGCCCAGCCCTCCTCCCTCAGACCCAGGGGTCCAGCCCAGCCCTCCTCCCTCAGACCCAGGGGTCCAGGCCCTCCTCCCTCAGACCCAGGGTCCAGCCCAGCCCTCCTCCCTCAGACCCAGGGTCCAGCCCCAGCCCTCCTCCCTCAGACCCAGGGATCCAGGCCCTCCTCCCTCAGACCCAGGGTCTAGCCCAGCCCTCCTCCCTCAGACCCAAGATTCAGCCCAGCCCTCCTCCCTCAGACCCAGGGGTCCAGCCCAGCCCTCCTCCCTCAGACCCAGGAGTCCAGGCCCTCCTCCCTCAGACCCAGGGTCCAGCCCAGCCCTCCTCCCTCAGACCCAGGGTCCAGGCCCTCCTCCCTCAGACCCAGGGTCCAGGCCCTCCTTCCTCAGACCCAGGGTCCAGCCCAGCTCTCCCTCTGCAGAGCGGGGCGGCCGCGCACTGGAGCAGGAGCTCCGCAGAGCCGTGTTTATCCGCTGTGACGTGACTCGGGAGGAGGATGTGAGGGTGAGGGCCTATCTGTGTCTGCCCCATCGCTGATACTTCTCCCTCTCTCGCTCTCACTCTCTCTCTGCCCCCTGGTTTGGCTCCAGGTCCACTCTGCCAGACCTCCCGGGGCAGGGCCTTCCGTAGGTGCCCTGGGCCCTCAGAACCTGTAGACCCCTCCCAGAGCCTCCCTCCACCACAGCCCCTCCTCGCTGGCTCCTGCCGCTTCGCTTCTCTTCCATCAGAGCCACTTTGTTATCTGACGCCCCTGATCCCGTCCCCCGACCTGGGGCTCCGTCCCTCTCTCTGGGTCTCTGTCCCCCCCCCCGGGTCTCTGTCCCCTCTCTGGGTCTCTGTCTCCTCTCTCTCTGGGTCTCTGTCCCCCGACCTGGGGCTCCGTCCCTCTCTCTGGGTCTCTGTCTCCTCTCTCTCTGGGTCTCTGTCTCCTCTCTCTCTGGGTCTCTGCCCCCTCTCTCTTGGTCTCTGTCCTCTCTCTCTGGGTCTCTGTCCTCTCTCTCTGGGTCTCTGTCCCTCTCTCTCTGGGTCTCTGTCCTCTCTCTCTGGGTCTCTGTCCCCCCTCTCTGGGTCTCTGTCCTCTCTCTCTGGGTCTCTGTCCCCTCTCTCTGGGTCTCTGTCCCCTCTCTCTCTGGGTCTCTGTCCCCTCTCTTTCTGGGTCTCTGTCCTCTCTCTCTGGGTCTCTGTCCCCCCTCTTTGGGTCTCTGTCCTCTCTCTCTGGGTCTCTGTCCCCCCTCTCTGGGTCTCTGTCCCCTCTCTCTCTGGGTCTCTGCCCCCTCTCTCTGGGTCTCTGTCCCCTCTCAGGTTCTGTCCTGCCCCGCCCCCTCCTCTGGGACAGCCGCACATGACCGTGACCGTCTCCTCCTGGCACCCCTGCTTCCTGTCCCATCTCCTGCGGAGCCCGCAGTCCTGGGCTCCCCTTCCTCAGAGCCCTGCTCCCCACTTGCTGCCTTGCTCGGGGTCCTGGGGCCACCCCTGCCGGGTCCCAGGGCCGTGCGCTGTCTCCACAGGCCCTGCTCTCCGACACCGTCCACCGGTTCGGCCGCCTGGACTGCGTGGTCAACAACGCCGGCTCCGTGAGTTGTGAGCCCGCCCCGTCCTCCTGCTCCTCCGTGTCCCCCGCCCCGCGCTGTGGCAGCCCACAGGCCTGAGCCCGCCCCGCTCCGTGCCTCAGTTTCTCCGTCTGTAAATCAGGAAACACTGCCGTGGTTTTTCTCCGGGGTGCTGGGGTGCCCCTGCAGAGTGACAGCTGTCACTCTCTCGGGCGGGTGCACAGCCTCCTGGGAAGCAGGGGCTGTGGGCTGAGGGGCGGGGCTTGCCTGGGGGCGCGGCCTGGCGCTTCTCTTCAGCTGTGCTGGGCTTGGGTTTGAGCAGAGAGCTCACCTTCCCCTCGGTGCCCTTGGCACCGCACAGGTTCCGACCCCTGCAGGGCCAGCGTCCCGCGAGGGCTAAGTTTGCGTCCACACAAACATTTTTTTAAGAGATTTATTTTGTTTATTTGAAAGGCACAGTGACACACACAGACAGAGGTCTTTCCTCTGCTGGTCCGTGAACGGCCACAACAGCTAGGACTGGGGCCAGGCTGAGGCCAGGAGCCTGGGACTCCATCCGGGGTCTCCCACGTGGGTACAGGGGCCCAGGCACTCGGATCGTCCTCTGCCTCTTTCCCAGGCCATCGGAAGTGGAGCAGCCAGGACTCGAACCTGCACTCTGATACAGGTGCCAGCCTTGTAGGTGGCGGCTTAGCCCACTGTGCCACAGCGCCAGCCCCAGGAAAATTTATTTGTACCCCAGAATCAGTGCCGGGGCTTCCCCTGGTTACTCCTGGGGGTGCACAGAGCTTGGGGGCACGTATTTCCTGCGGAGGTAGAAAAAGGGACAGAGAGGGGCCGGCACTGTGGTGTAGCAGGTAAAGCTGTCGCCTGCAGTGCCGGCATCCCATACGGGTGCCGGTTCAAGTCCCGGCTGCTCTACTTTCTATCCAGCTCTCTGCTGTGGCCTGGGAGAGCAGTGGAAGATGGCCCAGGTCCTTGGGCCCCTGCACCCGCGTGGGAGACCCGGATGAAGCTCCTGGCTCTCTCTGGCTGTCGCGGGCTGTGGCCACTTGGGGAGTGAATCAGCGGATGGAAGACCTCTCTCTCTGTCTCTCTTTCTGCTTCTCTGTAACTCTGCTTTTCAAATAAATAAACAAATCTTTTAAAAAAAGAAAGAAAAAGAGACAGAGAAGCCCTGAGGCAAGAGACTGATGGAGACCCGGGGTAGGCAGACGGACAGCTGTTGGGGGGCGGCTGCACAGCCCGGGCACTGTTTGCAGACGGGACAGTGGTGTGTGGGAGAAGGCACAGTTTGCAGATGTAGGATTACTGTCTGTGTCGGAGACACGCGTGTGGACAGACGTGTGGGCACACGGGCGTGTGACTTTCCATCACGCCACCTGTGCGCTCCCCGAGAAGTGGGGCCGCACCCCTAATCCACGACCTCGGTCCCTGTCTCCTGCTCTCTGGGGAGGAAGGCCGAGTGACAGACAGGGAGAGAGAGAAGAGACAGAGAGGTCTTCCACCTGCTCGGTCACTCCCCGAGTGCCCATGTGGCCAGGGCTGGGCCAGGTCGAAGCCAGGAGCCTGGGTGGCAGGGACTGGAGCCCCGGGGCCCGCCGTCTGCTTTCCCAGGCGCGAGGGCAGGAAGTAAGAGCGGAAGCAGCGTGAGGGGCTTGAACCGCTCATTCCTGCCTCCCGGTGGGGCAGCGGTGAAACCTACAGGGGCAAGTGAGAAGCGCCGGCGCCCCCGCTCGCAGCTGGGAACCCGGGAACCCGAGGGCAGGACCGTGGCTGTGCAGGGTCGCGCAGCCGGGAGGCGGGAGGCGGAGACTCCGGCCGCGGGCCCCACCCCTCCTGCCGCTCTGGGCGGCCCCTGCTCACGACGCCCCCACCCCACCCCAGACCCTCCCCTGCAGCCGTTGGAGGAGACCACGGCCCAGGGCTTCCGGGAGCTGCTGGAGCTGAACCTGCTGGGGACCTACACCCTGTGCAAGGTGAGGGCTGGGCCGGGCCGCAGACCGGGTGTGGACCGTGTCCCCGCGGGCAGAGCGCCCGTGCGGGCGGAGGCTTCACCGTGGCCCTTCTAAATGAGTTAATCCAGCAAGTACTCCTTTAGCCCCGACGCCATGCCAAGCACTGGGCACAAAGCAGTGAGCAAAGCCGACCCTTGTGGTGGGGCAGACCCGGGTGGGGGGCGGCCAGAGGTCAGGGAGCGGTCAGTGCTGTGCACAGAAGTGACGGAAGCTTGGGGACGAGGCGCGGTGGGCGAGTGTGTGCACGTGTGTGTGTGTGTGCATGTGTGTTGACACGTGCATTCTTGTGCACATGTATATGCATGTGTGTGTGTGTGTTCATGCGCTTTTTTTTTTGACAGGCAGAGTGGACAGTGAGAGAGAGAGAGACAGAAAGGTCTTCCTTTTGCCGTTGGTTCAACCTCCACCACGCTGATCCGAAGCCAGGAGCCAGGTGCTTCTCCTGGTCTCCCATGGGGTACAGGGCCCAAGCACTTGGGCCATCCTCCACTGCACTCCCTGGCCACAGCAGAGAGCTGACCTGGAAGAGGGGCAACCGGGACAGAATCCGGCGCCCCGACCGGGACTAGAACCCGGGGTGCCAGCACCGCTGGGCAGAGGATTAGCCTGTTGAGCCACGGCGCCGGCTTGTTTCCTGTGCTCTTGATCATGGCATTTTGCCAGTGTGCAGACAAGGAGAGAGAATCGTATCTCCAACCCCACGTGCCCATCGCCCTGTTCCCAGAAGTCTTTGCTTTCTGCTCTTCTTGCTTCTTGTGGCTTCCTTATTTTCATTTTGTTTTCTGGAGAGTTTTTTTTTTTAAATATTTATTTGTTTTGAAAGGCAGAGTTACAGAGACAAAGAGATAAAGAGAAGGGGGGGGGTGTCTTCCATCCACTGTTCACTCCCCAACGCCTGCAGCAGCCAAGACTGGGTCGGGCTGAAGCCCGGAGCCTGGAGCTGAGCCTGGGTCTCCGGCGTGAGTGGCAGGAACTCAAGTGCTGTTGCCCTCTGCGGCCCCCAGGGTGGGCCTTGGCAGGAGGCTGGGTCAGAGGCGGAGCAGCCAGGCGTGAGGCCACACTCCAGCATGGCTGTGGGCACCCACACAGGGGTAATGCCCGCCCTGGTGGGACTTTTGTATGTGTGTGTGTGTAGGGGCTGGTGCTGGGGCGTAGAGAGTGAAGCCGTTGCCTGCAACATGGGCGTCCATACGGGCACTGGTTCAAATCCCAGCTGCTCCACTTCCGACCCAGCTCTCTGCTGTGGCCTGGGAAAGCAGTAGAAGATGGCCCAAGTGCTTGGGCCCCTGCACCCATGTGGGAGACCCGGAAGAAGCTCCTGGCTTTAAATCAGCGCAGCTCTGGCCGATGAAGCCATTATGGGAGTGAGCCAGTGGATGGGAGACCTCTCTCTCTCTCTCTCTCTCTCTCTCTCTCTCTCTCAACCCCCCTCCCTCTCTGACTTTCAAATCAATCAGTAAGTCTTGAGGGAGAACACCCTACAGTTGGTCGCTGTTTTAGCCGGAGCGCGGGGCGGGAGGACGGCTCAGGGCTCTCCTCTGAGCGGTGACTTGGACTCGAGACCCTAACCACAGCTGAGGAGTGAGAGCTGCCTGTGGTGGGCTGGTGGGCCCTCTCCAGGCACCGGACTCCGTCACTGAGCCCTTGACGCAGGCGTGCATCGTGCCCCACAGGTACGCCCAGGGATTATGCCTCAACCACATAAATTATTATAACCACTATTACAGGTTTTTAAATAAGAGTTGTGGAAGCCGGCACCGCGGCTCACTAGGCTAATCCTCCGCCTTGCGGCGCCGGCACACCGGGTTCTAGTCCCGGTCGGGGTGCCGGATTCTGTCCCGATTGCCCCTCTTCCAGGCCAGCCCTCTGCTGTGGCCAGGGAGTGCAGTGGAGGATGGCCCAGGTGCTTGGGCCCTGCACCCCATGGGAGACCAGGAAAAGCACCTGGCTCCGCCATGGGATCAGCGCAGCACCGGCTGCAGCGCGCCGGCCGCGGCGGCTGTTGGAGGTTGAACCAATGGCAAAGGAAGACCTTTCTCTCTGTCTCTCTCTCTCACTGTCCACTCTGCCTGTCAAAAAATAAAAATAAAAAAAAAGAGTTGTGGAAGAGCCGTGGGGGCCCAGGAGCAGCAGGTGCACGGGTCCGGGGGCAGGCGGCCGCTCTCGGGCAGGAGGTGCAGCAAGGGCGTCAGCGCAGAGCCCCTGAGGGGGCGCGCGCAGGAGGACAGGGCCGCGAGTGGGTGGAGGAGCTCCGACTGTGGGGACTTCTGGGTCCCGGGGATCTTTGCTTTGCCAACAGCCGGCTCAGCAGAAGGAAGGGAGCTGCCTGCGTGGGAACTGGCGCCCTCTGCTGGCCACCCCGGGGAAGGGCCTGCGACTGAGGGCCGAGGCTGCCGTGGCCAGGCGGGCGGTGAGGTTGTACGCGCCCGGGCCCTGCACTTGGTGCAAAGCGGTGCGAAGCCGGGTCCGTTTTGAAGCTGGGATTGTCAGGATTTCTTCACGGCCCAGCTGTGCGAGTGGATTTCAGAGAGAAAGGAGTGCCACCCCTGCTCCAGCAACCGGTCCGACCCAGCCAGGAGCCCTGGGAGGGGGGTGCTGCTGAGTGTGAGGTGCCCACCCAGCACCCACTCCAGGTGGCCAGCGGGCAGCGGGAGTCAGCGGGTCTGCAGGAGCGAGCCTGGGGCCCAGCTGCCGGGAGAGCACCGGCGTGGGGTGGGGGGCTCAGGCACTCACTCGCAGGCCCCTCCCGGAGGCAGGTGTGGTGCCCCGGCCGGTCAGGGCGAGCCCTGGCTCCTTCTTGGGCCGAGCCAACACGGCACCCCCCAGTGTACAGGCACGATGGCTCGTGAGGGTTCACGCACTTCCCCGTTATTGCCAGCGTCAGGAAAGAGAAAGCTGCCGGGCTCTTGCCACTGTGAGTGGGGGTCCTGCCTGCGATGCAGTGCAAGCGACTCGGCCCTCCCCGGGCCTCAGTCTCCTCATCTGTGAAATGGGGCTCATCCTGGCATCTCACTCACACAGCCCTGGTGGAATGAAGCCGCCCTCAGACTCCCCCGAACACGCGGTGACTGGTGAACCTTGCCCCGTGTTGCTCCTTGCGGCCAACCTGCCTCGCTCTGTTTCAGTTCCCTGAGCTCAGGATTGGGCAAACGCAGCCTGGGGAAGTAGGCCAGGGTGAGCACAGAGCCGACCTGAGCGGGAAGGCAGGAGGTGGACAGACCGGGCGTTTCTCTCACTGCGCCCAGCGTGGGAAGGGCCTGGGGCAGGAACTGCTTATCCTATCTTAAAGAAGCCGCACTGTTGCCTTAGACGGCTCTGTCCCCTGCCCCCTGTCCCCGAGACGTTGTGCAGGTTCATGAGTGAGGGCGTCACGTGGGTCCTCCGTGGGCTCGGCGGGGTCTGTGCTCCGTCATCTTTACGGGGACATAATTCAGCCCTGAGGAACATTGCCAGAGTGGGCGCGCGAGGTTCTCTGCATAGATTCTCCGTGGTCAGCGTCTTCCATGTTTCTCCGTCTGCTTTCTTTACGAGCAGAGAGACTGGAGAGGGGGAGAGAGAGGAGGAAAGACAGCTCTTGGGGGCGGGTGCTGTGGCGTAGCCAGTAAAGCCGCCGCCTGCAGGGCCGGCATCCCATATGGGCGCCGGTTCTAGTCCCGGCTGCTCCACTCCCTATCCAGCTCTCTGCTCTGGCCTGGGAAAGCAGCGGAGGATGGCCCAAGTGCTTGGGCCCCTGCACCCGCGTGGGAGACCCGGAGGAAGCTCCTGGCTCCTGGCTTCGGATCGACGCAACTCTGACCATTGCAGGCATCTGGGAAGTGAACCAGAGGGTGGAAGACCTCTCTCTCTCTCTCTCTCTCTCCCTTTCTCTCTCTCTCTCCCCCTCTCTCTCTCATATATATATATATATATATATATATATATATATGGCTGTAATTCTCTGTAACTCTGCCTTTCAAATAAATAGATCTTTAAACAAGAAAGCAAGCAAGCTCTCCCATCCACTGGTTCACTCCACAGATGCCTGCAACAGCCAGTGCTGGGCTGGGCTGGGCTGGGCTGAGGGCTCCACCGGGTCTCCCATGAGAGGCAGGGACCCACTTGGCACCCCCTTGCAGGGTGGCTGGGTGTGCATCCGCAGGAAGCTGGGGTCAGGAGCTGCCAGAGCCAGATACCACACGTCCGCCGGGGCACGTGCGGAGCCCAGGTGGTGGTTTAACCCACAGCGTTACAACTCGGGCTGTCTGATACCTCCGCTCAGTGCACCTGGACCCGGGTGTCGTCTGCCCCTGCCTCCCGCACTTGGTTTTCCCCAAGATGAAGGCTTTTGTCTCTGTGTTCACACCTCAGTCCCCAAACCTAGGACGTGACACCATCCCTACCAGAACCCCGTGGGGCTGCCAGGGGCCTTGAACGGAGCTAGGCTGCAGAGAAGGGTGGGACCAAGGACCTGCTCCCTCCCAGGCCTACAGATCCCCGGGAGGCCTGGGCATGGGCTGTCAGAGCTGGACGCGTCCACTCATGCTGGCTGCTGGGGGACAGCAGTGAGCAGGTGCGGGGGGGGTGCTGGACAAACGCAGGGACAGGCGTAGGTGTGCGTCTCGTGGTGGGCCGGCGTTGGGGGCGGCTGAGAGTGACAGGGAGACCGGCTTGTGCTGGGTTCAGGCGAGGCTTCTGGACGCGGTGACAGGCGAGGGGGTAGGGAGGCGGTGACGCTGTTCCTGGCAGAGGGAGCAGCCATGCGAGGCCTGGCGGTGAGTTCCGGGGGTGCTGGGAAGGGAGGGGCACAGCAGGAGGGGCCGGGTGGGGACCAGGGCACGCTGGGTCTTGGGGCCAGGCTGAGAGGGCGTGGCAGCCGTGGGAGGTGCCTCAGCACGGAAGCGCCATGGTCCCACTGGCACTGGCTGCCGTATGAGGAAACCAGCGTGACCCTGGGAAAACCGGTATTAGGATCGAGTCTGTCCAAGGAGCAAGTGCTGGCCTTTGGGGTCTCACGTGGCCTGGCCCTAGTCCATCTCTGCCCTGACCTCTACCCCGCCGGCCTCACCGCCACCCAAGGCACCAGCTTTGCTTCTGCCTTGGGGCCTTGGCACCGGCTGTTCCTCTGCCCAGCAGGTGTTCCCGCCAGAACCCCCACGGCTCACACGGATGCGTTGTGTCAAGCCGCCCAGCACCCTCCAGGGACCCCCTGTTGAGAACTGCACCCCCAGCGCCCCCTGGTAGTCTGTCCGCTATCCGCCGTGGCTCTGTCATGGAGTCTGTCTTGTCTCCTGCAGCCCCCAGCACACAGCAGAGGCTCTGCGCGGGTTTGTTGAGTGAATGAATGAGGTGCAGCGACCTGGACAGGTCCAAGAGCTCACTGGCAGGGGCGGCTGCTGGGGCCGGGTGGGACTGAGGCCAGTTCCGGTGGGGGCAGGGGCTGGGGAGGACCCACAGGCCGGTTCTGTCCAGGAGACATTGAAATGCAGATGCCTGGGGGTAGAGGGGCTGGGGTCTCCAGAAGGGGTCTCTGGGGCAGATGCCAGAGGTGGGATCCCAGCCCAGAGGGAGAGGCAGGCCGAGGAACCCCAACCTTTAGGAGAAATGGGGTCAGATGAGGCGGCAGAGCCAGGCTCTGAGGATTGGCACTGGAAGAGGAGGAGGGGAGGGGAAGGGGTGGGGAGGAGGGGCGCCGGCCAATGAGGGCCGGCACATCCTGGAATGTAGCAAACGAGGTGCTGAGCGACCTTGAGGGAGGTGGGAGAGGCTGGGGAGGGCCGAACAAATATTTATGGAGCACTAGCTGTGTGCTTGGTGCCAAGCAGCCGGTCTGGGCCCCTGCAGGCCCCGGGTGGGGTGAGCTGCAGGCAGGTGTGCGGCTGGGCGGGGCTCTGAGCGGACAGAGGGCGGGAAGGTGGCCGGGAGGCCAGGCTCCCACCGCCCCCAGCGCCCACGCTCCCTTCCTGGCGCTCCTGTCCGCTCAGCATCTGCCTGGTTTTGGGTTTTGGCTTCAGGCTGCCTGGCCGTGGACAGCCATCTGTCAGGTGTCACGGGGAGCGCTGTGACGTCACGGGGAGCGCTGTGAGGTCGCGGCTCGCGGGGTTGCTATGACGATGGCATACTGGAACACTAAGCGCTGTGGCGAGCTGGGAACAGCGCCAGCCCCGCACCCGGTCCTCAGCCGCCGTATTCTCTCAGAGCCGTCCCCGGGAGACGGACGCGACGCACAGTCACACAGATGCCCGTCAGCGGCTCGCGTGACGGGAGGGGAGGGGCGGCCAGGGTGCGGTTCTGAGCAGAGTAGTCAGGGAGGGCTTCACTGGGGAGGCGGCATTTGAGCAGGGACTGAAGGTGCCGGGGGAGTGTGTTTACCCGGGACTGTCCCGATTTAGCACCGAAGCTGGGGACTGAAAGTTCCGTGTCCCCAGAAACCCTTGAGCCTGAGCACGTGGGATGGCCGGCCGCAGGGCAGCCAGCCTGGAGCCGTCTCAGGACCCTGCTGGTTCCAAGGCCCTGAGGTTGGGACGCGTGGCGGGAGAACGGAGGGTTTGGGGGACCCCACAGGGAGCTGCTCACATTCCTGCCGGGAGAACGCAGGGTTTGGGGGACCCCGCAGGGAGCTGCTCACATTCCTGCTGCGAGGATGCAGGGTTTGGGGGACCCCGCAGGGAGCTGCTCACATTCCTGCCGGGAGGACGCAGGGTTTGGGGGACCCCGCAGGGAGCTGCTCACATTCCTGCCGGGAGGACCTGGGTGCCAGCTGCTGGCTCAGGCTCACTAGTCTCCAGTGGCGGGGGAGGCCCCGCCCAGTCCGCTCAGCTGCCTGGGGCCGGAGGGAGGTGGACTGAGTTTGCCCAAGGTCACGTGCAGTGAATGCACACACAGGCGTGCTGCACGCACACGGATACACACGCATGCTGCACGCACACACATGCACACACGGATACACACACATGCTGGTACACACACATGGATACACACACAGGCGTGCTGGCACACACATGGATACACACATGAATACACACACATGCACACACAGGCGTGCTGGCACACACACGGATACACATGCATGCTGCATGCACACACAGGCGTGCTGGCACACATGCTGGTACACACACACAGGTGTGCTGGCACACACACATGGATACACACACATGCTGTGTGCACATGCATGGATACACACATGCACACACACGCATGCTGGCACGCACACACAGGCGTGCTGCACGCACACACAGATACACACGCATGCTGGTATGCACACACATGGATACACGCGCACGCTGGTACACACATGCTGGTATGCACACACATGCACACAGGTGTGCTGGCACACACATGGATACACGCGCACGCTGGTACACACATGCTGGTATACACACACATGCACACAGGCGTGCTGGTATGCACACACATGGATACACACGCATGCTGGTACACACACATGCACACACAGATGTGCTGACACACACATATGCTGGTACACACACAGGTGTGCTGGCACACATATGGATACACATGCATGCTGGTATGCACACACAGGTGTGCTGGCACACACATGCTGGTACACACACACAGGCACACACATGCTGGTACACACACACAGGTGTGCTGGCACACACATATGGATACACATGCATGCTGGTATGCACACACAGGCGTGCTGGCACACACATGCTGGTACACACACATGGATACACACGCATGATGGTACGCACACATGGACACACAGGCGTGCTGACACACACATGGATACACACGCGTGCTGGCACACACACATGTGCACACAGGTGTGCTGGCATGCACACACACGGATACACACGCATGCTGGTACACACACATGCACACACAGGCGTGGTGGCACACACATGGATACACACGTATGCTGGTACGCACACACATGCACACACAGGCGTGTTGGCACACACATGGATACACATGTATGCTGGCACACACATGCACACACAGGTGTGCTGGCACACACATGCTGGTACACACACATGCTGGTATGCACACACGCACACACAAGTGTGCTGGCACACACACATGCTGGTACGCACACACAGGCGTGCTGGCACACACACACACACAGTGGGGCCTCAGGTAGCCACGGTGTTGCAGGGAGCGTCCTCCACAGTTCACCCAGGCCTCCCATCTGTTCCCCTCTTGGACCAGGAGAGCCCTGGGGAGCGGTCGCTCCCAGACAAGCAGAGGCTAAGTGCTGGGACCGAGACACCAGAGAGGGTGCTCACGGCGGGGTCCTCCATGGCGTCCCCCGCGGGGCACCTGCGTCTGTGTTTCAGCAGAATCGGGGGACCCCAGGGGGGCTGATTCCGACTCCGTCTCTCGCCCAGCTCGCCCTCCCGCACCTGCGGAGGAGCCGGGGAAACATCATCAACATCTCCAGCCTGGTGGGGGCGGTCGGCCAGCTCCAGGGGGTTCCGTACGCGGCCACCAAGGTAGGCCGGCCCTGCCCACCCCCACCTCCCCACCTGGTGAGAGCCGGCGAGTGGACAGCCTGCCCAGGGTCACCCTCAACTCCCAGATTCAGCCCAAGGAGGCCTGACGCCCGTGACAGCGGGGAGCAGAGCGGGGTGCCCACAGGAGACGGGGAGCCCCCCCCAGGTTCTGCTGCCCCGGCTGGAAGGGGGCCCATATTCCCCTCCCCTCGCCTTTGCTGCAGGGCGCAGTGACGGCCCTGACCAAAGCCTTGGCCCTGGACGAGAGTCAATATGGCGTCCGCGTCAACTGGTGAGCAGCCCCCTGGGGGATGGGAAGGGGGGTGAGCCCCAGAGGCAGCTGCACTGATGCCCGCCCCCCCCAGCATCTCCCCAGGAAACATCTGGACCCCACTGTGGCAGGAGCTGGCAGCCCTGGCGCCAGACCCCAGGGCCGCAATCCGAGAGGGCGCCATGGCCCAGGTAGGAGTGAACACCAGGTCCCAGTGTGGGGCGGGGGCATGGCCATCCGGGCGGGGTCCCCTCCACGGCCGTCCTCCCTGCTCTCTGCCCCCAGCCCCTGGGCCGCATGGGCCAGCCCGCGGAGGTAGGGGCTGCGGCTGTGTTCCTGGCGTCGGAAGCCAGCTTCTGCACGGGCCTCGAGCTGTTCGTGACCGGGGGCGCCGAGCTGGGGTATGGGTGCAAGGCCGGCCCCAGCACCCCCGTGGAAGTCCCGGATCTGTCTTCCTGATTTCCCGCACTTCCGCCCCAAACCTGTACCCCGAACCTCCTCGGACCTCACGCCCACCTTGGGATGCGCGAGGCACACCCCGCCGGTGCCCACGAACACAGAACATTCTGCAGCCAGCCGGGGCGTCTTTGCGTTTATTCCCTGCCCTGTTGGACAGTGCCCGCCGAGCCGCCCTGCACCCCCGGGACCAGGGCTCCCGCAGCAGGTTGTGGGGAGAGCACTTGCCAGGCCGCTAATTGGCAGGCCCGCGGGGGAGACGCTAATTAGGCGCTGATTGGGAGGTAATGGGCCGGCTGGAGGCCTCCTTTTACTCTCAGCCCTTAGGGACAGCAGTTCTGGCCGAGGGCGGAGACGTCTGGGTCACAGCGAGCTGGGGTCGGGGGACACCGCGGGTCGCGGGCTCCCCGGGCTGGGCGAGAGCCGCCCCCGCCTCGCCCCAGGTGAGGGGGGTGGAGCCGCAGGGCTGCTGCGGATTGGCCGCGGCGGGGGGCGTGTGGCAGCCGCTGATTGGCTGGGGCGGCGGGGGCGTGGTCGCTCGGCTCCGCCCCGGCAGCCGCGGGCCGGGTGGGCGGGGGAGGAGGCGTGGAGCCGAGACAGGGGGCGGATGGGGCTGGGGGCCCGGGACCCCGGTTTAGGGGCGTTGCGGGGGATAGGAGTTGAGGGCCGAGCTGTCCCTAGGCAGACACACGGAGGCCCCAGGGCCGGTTTCCGGCGTCTCGGTCCCCCGGCTATGGGGGCGAGGGACGGGCCTCGCGTGGACTGCACGGCTGGACCCCGAGGCGCGAGTGGCCGGAGCGCCCCTGCAAGGGGTGCCCCCGGGGACCCCGCTCCAGGGGCCGGCCCTGCTGACCGGGGGGCGGGGGCTCCCTTAACGACAGGGCCCGGCAGGTCAGCGGGAACCCGGGGGCCGTGATGGCCCGAGTCCTCCGCTCCTGGCCTCTCCTGGCTCCCACCTCGGGCGGCAGCCGCAGCGAGGGGAAAGGGGTGCACTTGCGGCGCATGCGCCCTGCAGCGGGGCCCGGCTCCGGGGCGTTCCGTAATTGGGGAGCCCGGGCGGGCCTGGGATGCGGGGGGGGGGAGGGGCGGCCGTCCCGCGGGAGGGGGTGTGAGTAGGGCGGGGCCGGAACGTTTTTCTCCGGGGCCACGCCCGGGCGGGCACAGTTAACCGCCGCACGGATCATGGCCGCAGCCGCGCTGGGGCAGGTGGGTTCTCGGCCCCGCGCCGCCGAGGGGCCGGGGAACCCCTCGGGGCAGGCGCACTTCCGGCAGGACCACCGGCGCGCGCCCGGTGCGTCCGGCTGGGCGCCGCTGCGGGTGCGACGCTCGGGTTCCGCGGCGGGGTGCCGAGGAGGATGGGGCTCCGTTTGGCAAGGAGCACAAGGCTTGCAGTGGGGCGTGGGGAGTCGGAGGGGCAGGCCCTAGGCGGGCCAGATACAAAGCGGGAAACGTGGAGGAGAGGACCGAAACGGGAGGGGCGCGGCACTGGGTCAGGCTGGGGCGGTTGTGTTTAGGGGTGGGGGGCGGCCGAGGACCTGCAGGGTGGGGGCAGGATGAGGGCAGGGCGTTCAAACTCCAGGCCCCCCTGGGAACCGGACGATGAAGCTCGGTAAAGACAATGCCGTGGGCCGTGTTCCCGACCCCCCTTACCTTGCTCCCGGTGACGTGGACGGCCTTCCTCCAAGGCGGAGAGCCGCGCTGCTGCGGGGAGTCCTTGCCGCTAGGTAACCAGGTCCCGCGGTGAGGAGGGGTCGCTGGAGCCCCGCCGGCCACAGCACGGCCCCCGGGGAGGGGGAGGTGTTCCCTGCAGGCGGGCAGAGTTGCGCCTTCCCCTGGTCCTGGGCGGCAGTGGGGGGGTGGTCGCCCCGGGCTGTGATGTGCAGAGGCCTGCCCATACTCTGCCGTGCCGTGGGACCCCCAGCCTCGAAGGCCGCTTTGTCTTGTAGTGGAGACGGGGCTGAGCCCTAGGCTGGGACAGGCGGGAGTCCCCGACCTGGGACAAGCCTGGGGCAGGGAGGGCTGTGATCCGGGGATGGGCCCGGGGTCTGAACGGGGACACTTCGGGCCCCCCTCAATGGGACAGACACACTGTGAGGTTGTGAGGTAAGAGGCTCAGGCTGCGATGTGAATCAGGGGCTGTGACCAGAAGCCCTGGGCCTGGATGAGACAGCATGGGCTGTGACCAGGACGTGAGTGGCCGACTGGGTTGTGGGGCGCGGAGGAGGCTCCCTGGGGTGACAGAGCCCTGCCCGATGGACCCGCCAGCCCCAGTCCTGCCCTTGTGTCTCAGGGCAGGTGTCCGAGCCCCGGCTCCGGTTCTGGCTCCAGCTTCCTGCTAACGCACACCTTGGGAGGCAGCAGGTTCCGCTCAGGTGTGGGAGGCCAGGTGGAGTTTCTGCCCCAGCCTGTTGCGGGCGTTAGAGGGAGGAACCAAGAATGGAAAACCCCTAGTTCTCTCTGCCTTTCAAGTAAATAAAACTAAGTAAAGGAACAGTCACACTCCTTGTCCCAGCAGCCCCTCTGCCCTCTGGGGCCCAGCCCTGTCTCGGGGGGGGGGGGCACCTTCCTGAGCTGAGCCGAGCCCCGCCCCTCAGGATGGAGGCAGCTGCATCACGGGGCCTCCCTCCGTGGCCCGGGATCCGTCCAGCCTGGATGCTGAGCCAGTATCTGGCCAGTGCGGATGTTTTTCTGTCTAGTCTCCCTGAGGTAGTCTCTCTCCGGCAGTTGGGGTCTCTCTCCCCCAGTTTTTTCCCCAGGCCTCGGGGCGCCCTTCCACTCTGCACAGCCCATCTGATCTGCTTTTCATCGATTTCTCTTCCGTTTCCTTGTTCTCGCCATATCCCCCACTCAGTATTTTATCCTGAGGTCTCCTGGCTTTATTTCCTGAGACCTGAGTTTCTCTCTCTCTTTGTTTTGACAGGCAGCGTGGACAGTGAGAGAGATAGAGAGAAAGGTCTTCCTTTGCCGTTGGTCCACCCTCCAATGGCCTCCGCGGCCGGCGCACCGCGCTGATCCGAAGGCAGGAGCCAGGTGCTTCTCCTGGTCTCCCATGGGGTGCAGGGCCCAAGCACCTGGGCCATCCTCCACTGCCCTCCCTGGCCACAGCAGAGAGCTGGCCTGGAAGAGGGGCAACCGGGACAGAATCCGGTGCCCCGACCGGGACTAGAACCCGGTGTGCCGGCGCCGCTAGGTGGAGGATTAGCCTAGTGAGCCGCGGCGCCGGCCTGTTTGTTTGTTTTAAAGACTTACTTATTTGAAAGGCAGAATGACAGGGAGGATCTTCCATCCACCGACTGACTCTCCAAATAACCAACAGCCAGGTGTCGGCCAGGCCAAAGCCAGGAGCCAAGAGCTTCATCCTGGTCTCAGCCAGGGGCCCAGGTCGCAGGCAGTGGCTTAACCAGCTGTGCCACACACCAGCCTCGCTGTCTTACTCATGTGAAAGGCAGAGTGGTGGAGAGGGAGAGGCAGAGAAAGGGAGAAGGAGAGAGAGAGCCTCCACCCGCTGGTTCACTCCCCAGATGCCCACGACGGCTGGGGCTGGGACATGATTCCATCTGGGTCAGAAACCGTGGTCTGCTGCCTCTCTGGCACATTAGCAAGAAACTTGACCGGAAGAGGAGTGGCCGGGACAGAACCAGCACCCTGATGTGGAAGGCGGGCACGCTGAGCGGCAGCACACGCCCGGGCGCCACGCCACCTGCCCGGCTGGGATCCGATCCTTGGGCATCTCCCCGGGGCACCGCGTCGCCCGCCCGGCTGGGATCAGGTCCCTGGGCATCTCCCCGGGGCACCGCGTCGCCCACCCGGCTGGGATCAGGTCCCTGGGCGTGTCCCCGGGGCGCCGCGTCGCCCGCCCGGCTGGGATCAGGTCCTGGGTGTCTCCCCGGGGCACCGCGTCGCCCGACCGGACTGGGATCAGGTCCCTGGGTGTCTCCCCGGGGCACCGCGTCGCCCGTCCGGCTGGGATCAGGTCCTTGCACCGCGTTGCCCGCCCAGCTGGGATCAGGTCCCTGGGCGTCTCCCCTGGAGCACCACACCACCTGCCCGGCTGGGATCAGGTCCCTGGGCGTCTCCCTGGGGCACCGCGTCGCCCGCCCGGCTGGGATCAGGTCCCTGGGCGTCTCCCGGCCTCCGACTCTGTTCTTTGCAGATTTGCTCCTCATTTCTGGGTCTTTTTCCCTCATTCTTCCTCTGCCTTCTCTCACTGTCCTTAAACTTCTTCCGTCCTGGCTGTTCTCTGAGGGCTGCTGTCCCTTCCCTGTGTCTGTCCTCTCTCCATGCCTGCTGTCCCACCCCCTCCTGGGCACCAGCTGCAGGGCTGGGCAGGCCACGCCAGGGACACCCGCTCTGCTCAGTCCAGGAGCCCTGGGGCCGCCCGAGACTCACCTGCCGGCCGTGACCGCGGCTGTTCTCGTCCACTGGGCAGGAGTGGCTTTGCCTCCCGCAACCTCAGGACCCAGGCACCTCCCTGCAGGGTTGGGGACACAGGTCACTGGGAGGGGCCACTCTGCTGGAAGCACTGACCTCTGTTCCCCTGAGGTGGGGGAGGGGCCGAGCGAAAGACTGTGGGCTTCTCTTGGGGCCTGCGCTGGCTGTGCTGTGGTGGAGCGGGTAAAGCTGGCGCTCGCGACTCACATCCCATATGGACGTGGACGCCGGTTCCAGTCCCGGCTGCTCCACTTCCCATCCAGCTCCCTGCTGTGGCCTGGGAGAGCAGCGGAAGAAGGCCCGAGTGCTTGGGCCCCTGCACCCACGTGGGAGACTCAGACGGAGGTCCCGGCTTCTGGTTTCCCTCTGGCCCAGCCCTGGCCCCCGGCCGTTGTGACCATCTGGGGAGTGAATCAGGGGCTGGAAGATTCTCCCTCCCTCTCTCTCTCTCTCTCTCTCTCTGTAACTCTGCCTTTATAAAGAAATCGTTAAAAAAGTGAGCTTCGAAATATTGATCAGAGATGATGGGGGACTCCCCGCAGCCTTGGAGGGGCTGCCCACGCGGAACTGGGCTGTCCAGGGTGTGCGGCAAGCTGAGCCCAGTTGGGTCTGAGGGAGGAGGGGCTGGGGCCTGGACTCCTAGTCTGAGGGAGGAGGCGCTGAGGGTCCCGATCCTGGTCTGAGGGAGGAGGGGCTGGGGCCTGGACTCCTGGTCTGAGGGAGGAGGGGCTGGGGCCTGGACTCCTGGTCTGAGGGAGGAGGGGCTGGGGCCAGACTCCTGGTCTGAGGGAGGAGGGCTGGGCCTGGACCCCTGGTCTGAGGCAGGAGGCGCTGGGGGTCCCGATCCTGGTCTGAGGGAGGAGGCGCTGGGGCCTGGACTCCTGGTCTGAGGGAGGAAGGGCTGGGGCCTGGACTCCTGGTCTGAGGGAGGAGGGCTGGGGGGTCCCTGATCCTGGTCTGAGGGAGGAGGGGGCCTGGGGCTTGCAGTGCTCAGTCCCGGGGGAGCAGGACCTGTAGTCCCTCGTTTTCCTGACCTGGGCCAGGATTTGGGTCCTGGGGGCTTTCACTCACCTGCACAGCTCCCCTGGGCGTCCGCTGCTCTGAGCTGCTCTCAGGCTGGGGCCAAAGTTCCCTGAGTGGGCGGGGCCTCTCTTTGACTTTACCCCCCAGTGGGAGGGGTCAGACTGCCGCGGACTCAGCTCTTTCCAAGGATGTGGCACGCGTGGGGGCGGGGAGTGGGCTTGGCCTGGGCCACGTGTGTGGTGCGGAATCCCGGGGGGAGGGAACCTCACAAGTACAGGGGGTGCAGAGGGGGTGCGGGGGCCCCAGCTCTCTCTCTGCTGGCCTCATCAGCCTTCTCCCTTCTCTTCCCGCCCAGATCTGGGCCCGAAAACTTCTTCCGGTCCCTTGGCTTGTGTGTGGTCCCAGAAGATGTGCCTCCTCCAACTTCAAGGTGAAAGGAAGGGGCTGGACTCCTGGGTTGGGGGGAGGTGCGCAGGGGGCTGGGGTTCTGGACACCTGGACACCTGAGCCTGGAGGAAGACGTACTGGGGCTGAATTTGGGCGTCTGCAGGAGGCCCACAGCTTAAGAGGTGCCGGTGGTAGGCAGTGGGTGGAGGAAATGAAATGAAACTACATATCCCAGAAGCCTCTGTGGTCCGAGGCCTCCCTTCTCTATGGCTCCGAGGCCCGTGGCATCATGGGAGATGTAGTTTATCCCTTTGGCACGCATCTCCAGATTCCAGGACACCTGGTCCCCTGTCTTTCCTCAGGCCGCGGATCTGCAGCTACAAATGACGGCGGAGCCTCAGAAGAAGCCCAACCCCAGCGAGCCCCTGATGTTCGGGAAGACGTTCACCGACCACATGCTGATGGTGGAGTGGACGGGGAAGAAGGGCTGGGGCCAGCCCCGGATCCAGCCCTTCCAGAACCTCACGCTGCACCCGGCCTGCTCCGCCCTGCACTACTCCCTGCAGGTGGTGTGGTCGTGACCTCTTCCTGTTCCCGGCTGCACTTCCTTCGCCTTGCCTTGTCTCAAGCCAGGTGCACCCTCCTGGGTCGGCTTTGCCTGCTTCTCCTTTCTGTGGGTCTTCGTTTCTGAGGCCCTGGGTGTTGCTGGGTCCCCAGCGTGAGCCCCATGCTTTCAGTGTGACTGAAGCAGGACTTCTCCCGGCAGAGAGAGGAGCGTGGGAGGAGGGGCCCAGCCAGTGTCCGGCCCAGCTGCAGGGAGAGCCTGGCATGTCTCAGGGGAGTTGCGGGACTGGAGCATGGCCGAGGAGACCGATCAGGGCCACTGGGTCTTGTCCGAGGGCTCTGGGTAGGGCAGGTCAGGGCCAGATCTGAGACCCTTAGGGCACGTGTGGAGGCCAGGCTGGGGCGAAGGTCCAGGTGGGAGAGCTCTGGGTGGAGAGGGACAGTGTAGGGGCTAGGCAGGAGGGGCGGGGCTGGTGCCCAGGGCTCTGCCAGCTGGGCGGGTGGGCCGGGGACCCGGAGGGGAGGGCCCTCTGCCTTTCTAGGAAGAAACTGGGGAGGTGTTGGGTTTCATGACTCAGAGCCAGGGGAGGCGCGATGAGCGGCTCACAGCTGCAGGGCCCCTGGCAGTCTGGGTAGGTTTTGTCGTCTACAGCAGGGTTTTATGATATCGGGCGTACTTTCCTGTTCCTCCTCCCCCCACTCCCCCTCCTGATTTATTTATCTGAAAGGCAGAGAGAGAGAGGGAGAGATCTTGAGGTCTTCCACCTGCTGCTTTACCCCCTGAGTGCCTGCGGCGGCCGGGGCTGAGCCAGGCTGAAGCCTGGAGCCAGGAGCTCCATCCTGGTCTCCAGGTCTCCCACGCCGGTGGGAGGGGTCCAAGGACTCCCAGGACGCTGTCCTCCGCCACCTTCCCGGGGGCATCGGCAGGGAGCTGCTGGGACTGGAACCCGGACACCGGCCCTGCCCTCAACGCCCACACCGGCTTGCTTGTTTTTCAGAAATCTGAGGGGTTTCCCCCGCTTTCTCTGTACACTGAGCTGGAGCCGACAGGGCCTGCGGCTGGTAGACACCAAGGCGAGCGTGGGGGGTGCACCGTGGGGGCTGCAGACCCCCCAGGGGGGCGCCCGGGGCCGCATCCCCCTCTCCTCTCAGCAGCCACAGTTCCTGCCCAGTGTGGCATGCAGACGCTGGCCCGCGTCCTGTCCGTGACTGCCCTTGGGGGCCGGCTGACACCGGGGACCACGTCTGCAGGTCCCCCTCACTCTGGGGCACGCTAATTATGCTTTATTATAATTATATATGCATAACACACACATCACAGGATGCACCACTTCAACCATTTCAAGTACAGTAATGCTGTGTGGCCATCCCCGTTGTCTGTTCTAGAGCTTTCCATCTCCCAAACAGAAGCCCCCAGCCCGCTAAGCAGTGCCCGAGGCCCCCTGGTTCACCCCCAGATGCCTTCAGTAGTTGGGGGGCTAACGCCAGGGCCCCGAATTCAGCTCGGAGCCGCCGGTCTCCTCCGTGTGTCCATCTCGCTCTGGCGCTGAGCCCCGCCCCCACTTCCCTGCAGCTCTTTGAGGGCATGAAGGCGTTCAAGGGCAAGGACCAGCAGGTGCGCCTCTTCCGGCCCTGGCTCAACATGGAGCGGATGCTGCGCTCGGCCAGGCGCCTCTGCCTGCCGGTGAGGGGGCCCTGGCTCAGCCCGGGGGGGGGGGGGGGCGCAGGCAGGGCCGGGCGGGCCTGGGGGCGGGATGGGGGGCTCCTGACTCCTGACCCCTCCGGATTCGCCCCAGAGCTTTGACAAGGCCGAGCTGCTGGAGTGCATCCGCCGGCTCATCCGAGTGGACAAGGACTGGGTTCCCGAGGGCAGCGGCACCAGCCTCTACGTGCGGCCGGTGCTCATCGGAAACGAGGTGGGCCCTGCCCCCGGGGCGGGGCTCCTGAGGGGGAGGGGCGGCCCGGGGGCCGGGGGCCGGGGCCTGCGCTCCCGGGTTCCTGACGCTGCCCCTCTGCCCTCTGCAGCCGTCGCTGGGCGTCGGCGGCGCCACCCAGGCCCTCCTGTTCGTCATCCTGTGCCCTGTGGGCTCCTACTTCCCCGGAGACGCCGTGACCCCCGTCTCCCTCCTGGCCGACCCCACATTCATCCGGGCCTGGATGGGGGGCGTCGGCGACTACAAGCTGGGGGGGTAAGCCTTCCTGCCTCAGCAGCTCTGGCTGTGGGAGCCCCTGGGCGACCACCTGTGCTTCTGGGGTGGGCCTCCGGGTGCCCAGGGGTGTGACCTTGGCATCGGGATCCGCGGCGCGTAGGCGCTCAGTGCGCGCACCGCGTCCAGAAGGAGGAATACCAGAGATGAGCTGGGGTCTCGTCCTTGGGCACTGGGGAGCCCAGGGAGGCTTGGGAGGGAGGGGCAAGCTTAGCGCCGGGTAAGAGACCAGGGTTAGGATAGGGAGACAGGAAGTCCTGGGCCGCAGACCAAGCCTGGACGCCGGCAGCGCGTCCCAGAGGGGTGACCTTGGCAGTGGTTTGACGGACAGCTGGGGGTTTGGTGATCACAAGAGGGGTGAGGAAGATGATTGGGGGGGGCACGTACCCCCCCAGGGTCTTCACACCAAGCTCATGGCCAAGGACGCTGTCCTTGGGGCGCCCGGGAAGCCACAGGAGGGCTGTGAGCTGGGGAGGGGGTGCCCCCAGTGTGTTGGGGAGGACGAGGTCCCTCCCCCATCTGACCAGCTTGCCTCCACCAGGAATTACGGGCCCACCGTGTACGTGCAACGGGAGGCACAGAAGAGGGGCTGTGAGCAGGTCCTCTGGCTGTACGGCCCCGACCACCAGCTCACCGAGGTGGGCACCATGAACATCTTCATCTACTGGACCCACGAGGACGGGGGTAGGTCCGGCCCTGGCCGCAGGGCAGGCCCCGGGGGTTCTGGGGGCGGGGTGTGGAGTAACCCCGCCCCCTTCCCTTGCACCTGCCCTAGTGCTGGAGCTGGTGACGCCCCCGCTGGACGGCATCATCCTGCCCGGAGTGATCCGGCAGAGCCTCCTGGACCTGGCTCAGAGCTGGGTGAGGCGCTGGGGGCCTGCGGGGGCGGGGCTCCCGTGGGGGCGGGGCTCCGGTGCTGGGGGGCCTGCGGGGGGCTCCCATGGGGGCGGGGCTCCGGTGCTGGGGTGCCTGCGGGGGCGGGGCTCCCATGGGGGCGGGGCTCCGGTGCTGGGGTGCCTGCGGGGCGGGGCTCCGGTGCTGGGGGGCCTGCGGGGGCGGGGCTCCGGTGGGGGCGGGGCTCCGGTGCTGGGGTGCCTGCGGGGGCGGGGCTCCCGTGGGGGCGGAGCTCCGGTGCTGGGTGCCTGTGGGGGCGGGGCTCCGGTGCTGGGGTGCCTGCGGGGGAGTTCCTGTGGGGGCGGAGCTCTGGTGCTGGGGTGCCTGTGGGGGCGGGGCTCCCGTGGGGGCGGAGCTCCGGTGCTGGGGTGCCTGTGGGGGCAGGGCTCTGGTGCTGGGGTGCCTGTGGGGGCAGGGCTCTGGTGCTGGGGTGCCTGTGGGGGTGGGTGTGCATCTGTGCCTTGCCGCCCAGGGGGAGTTCCGGGTGGCGGAGCGCGCCATCACCATGAAGGAGCTGCTGCGGGCGCTGGAGGAGGGGCGCGTGCGGGAAGTCTTCGGCTCGGGCACCGCCTGCCAGGTGTGCCCTGTGCACCAGATCCTGTATGAGGGCCAGGTGAGGCCGGGCTGCCGCCGAGGGTGAGGGCGGGAGGGCAGGAGGGCGGCGCGGCGGCGCGGGGCCTCACGCGCCTTTCCCGCAGGCCGTCCACATTCCCACCATGGAACACGGGCCCGAGCTCATCCTGCGCTTCCAAAAGGAGCTGCAGGCGATCCAGGTGAGGCCGGGCGCTCGGCATTATGGAAGGGCTCCCCTCAGCAATCCTAGGAGCAGGTCTCGGTTCCGCCCATCACCCCGGGGCCTGCGGGGTCAGCTTGCCGCCTTCCAGAGCCCCGGGCGAGGCTTCGCTGAGAAATCCCCTTTCCCATGAGCCTCTGCGGCCCCAAACGGATGTCCCGCTGGGATAAAGCCCTTTCCCATGAGCCTCTGCGGCCTTGGGGTATCCTGGTAGAGTATTCCCCGTCCCAAGAGGCTTTGCGCGCATCCCCACTACGTTTATCCTGGGGACTGAAAGGCCTTTCCCATGAGCCTCTGCGGCCTTAGGGGTATCCTGGTAGAGCACTCTCCGTCCCAAGAGGCTTTGCGTGCATCCCCACTTCCGTTTATCCTGGGGACTGAAAGTCCTTTCCCATGAGCCTCTGCGGCCCTTGGGGTATCCTTCTGGTGAGAGAACGCTTTTCCCCATGAGCCTCTGCGTGCCCCAGCTGCCCGTTGGAGCGACCCCCCTCCCATGAGCCTCGGCAACCCCAGGGTATCTTGGGTAGAAGGAATCCCGTTCCCGTGAGCCTCTGCGCTTTCACCCCACTCGCGGGCATCCTGGGGGCGGGAGGCTGCTTCCCGGGGACTTCCGGGACCGGGGCCTGCTGGGAGTTGCGGTGCGGCTGCCCCTCATGCCGCCCCCGTCTTCCCTAGTACGGAACGAGCACTCACGAGTGGATGCTCCCGGTGTGACGCCGCGGGCTGCGCCATCCAGGCCCCGCCCCTCGCCTCCTCGTGACTCACCTCAAGTGCAATATGGAGTAGCAGGCCGGGGGCGCCGACGCCGGGCTGCAGCGCGCCCCCGTGTGGTCGCTACACTCCCAAAGCCGTCGGGGCCCGCCCGGCCGCCGGCCCCAGCCCCGCATCTCGGCCTCGGGGACCAGGCGCCCCGCTGCTCCGTTCCCGGGGCCGTGGCCGTGTCTCTCCGTGCGCAGCCCGGCGCCGGTGCTGCCGTTGATTTTTTTTTTCCCTCTCTGTGCTGCAATTTTGAAATAAAATGCCAAAGAACAAGGCGCGAGTGGTCTCCAGCGGCGCGGGGGTCTCCAGCCAGGAGTCCTGGGGACGCCATCGGTTTGCTTTTCCGGTGGCTCCTGCAGCCTGCGGGGGGCGCCCCCTCCCCTCCTGCGCCCGCACCTTGCCCTTCCTGGGGACGTCCACTCTGCAGCCAGTCGCCAGGCCAGAGCTGTCCCCCGTCTGCTCTTGTCCCCTCCTCTCTGTCCCCTTAGCCCTGGGGCAGCGGGATTCCCGCACAGAGAGGAGACACCAAGGCTTTCAACAGGAAGTGGTCTCCTACTGTGTGCCCACAGCAGGCCCTGCGGAAATCCTTCTCCAAGCCCGAGCCGGAACCCAGAGGGGTCTTTCCTTCTATGTGGCTTTAGCCTCGGGTCTCCCCCACGTGGCCGCGCATAGGTTGGGTCGGTGGTCTCATGTCCCCGGCGGCCGCAGGAGTTGACACAGCACTGCCCGTGGGTCCGTGGTCTGTGGGGAAGTTTCGGGAGAGCCGGGCATCGGGACCAGGCGTGCCACGTTTCTTTGTGGACCCGTGTGCGGGCGGAGGGGCCCTGTGGGACCGCTTGGCAGACGCGGTTGGTGCCAGGCCAGCAGCAGTGTCTTGGGGCAGCAGCGAGCCATTGCCACATCTTCTCATCCTCTTTTGTCAGCAGTTGCTCAAGGAAAGGTTATGGGCCAAAGGCCTCAAGGGACAAACTGGCTCCAGGCCTCTGCCTCTTTTTCCTCCCTCCTTTGTCAGTTCCGTGGATGAGCAATGGTCGGAGCTGCTGCTGCCATTTTGTGCCCACGAAGGGTGCTGCTGCCCACACTGAACACGGCAGTGAGCGAGGAGGAAAAAAATCTCTGGGTCTCCCCACGAATATCCTGATTTTTTTTCTTTTTTGGCTTTATTTATTTGATAAGAGAGTTACAGAGAGAGGTAGAGCTAAAGAGAGAGAGAGGTCTTCCATCTGCTGGTTCACTCCCCAGATGGCCGCGACGGCCTGAGCTGTGCTGATCCGAAGCCAGGAGCCAGGAGATTCTTCCAGGTCTCCCACGCAGGTGCAGGGGCCCAAGGACCTGGGCCATCTTCTACTGCTTTCCCAGGCCATAGCAGAGAGCTGGATAGGAAGTGGAGCAGCCGGGACTTGAACCGGCGTCCGTATGGGACACTGTGCTGCAGGCAGGGGCGTTAACCCGCGGTGCCACAGCGCCGGCCCCTTCCTTTGTGTTTATGGAAGTCGGGAAGAGCTGAAACCCCTGTGTAAGCCGCCCGGGTCGGTCGTTGGTCCTCTGTTGTCTGCTCGGTGATGTCAGCCGGGGCTGCTCCGTGTCGTCCCAGGGCCAGGGCTCCTGTCGCCCGGGAGCGTCCCTGACTCCAGGAAGCCATCTGAGGCTGTGCCCAGCCATCAGACCCCAGATGAAAATCCAGGCCCGCCTCAGGGCGCCCCAACGCTGGACCAAGGGCTCACCCCACCCCCGCTTTTATTTTGTAAAACTTAAACTGTTCGTGACTTTTGGGGAGCAAGTTCACCGTCCCAAGACTCCGTTTTCTCGATACAAACAGAAGGGCCCTGAGGCCAGCGCTTTGGCTCACTAGGCTAATCCTCCGCCTAGCGGCGTCGGCACCCCGGGTTCTAGTCCCGGTTGGGGCGCCGGATTCTGTCCCAGTTGCCCCTCTTCCAGGCCAGCTCTCTGCTGTGGCCAGGGAGTGCAGTGGAAGATGGCCCAAGTGCTTGGGCCCTGCACCCCATGGGAGACCAGGAGAAGCACCTGGCTCCTGCCTTCGGATCAGCGCGGTGCGCCGGACGCAGCGGCCATTGAGGGATGAACCAACGGCAAAGGAAGACCTTTCTCTCTGTCTCTCTCTCACTGTCCACTCTGCCTGTAAAAAAAAAAAAAAAAAAAAAAAAAAAAAAAAAAAAAAAAAACCAGAAGGGCCCGCACCCTAGGAGACGGCAGGCGGCCACTCCGGTTCCCGGCCGCCCACGCGCGACACCCGGGCTGCGCAGGGGCGCCCCGCCCCGGCTTCACCAGCGTCTGGGGAATGAACCCGTGAACGGAAGATCGGGCTCTGCCTTTGGGGAAAAAAAAAAAAACTTAATTGCTTTCCATGGCTAATTATATGGTGTGTGTTTCTGCCAAAGTTAAAATTGAAAGTTTGTTTTGTTTTGTGTTTAAGAGGAGGGAAAGCAAAGCTAAGGGCTAAAATAAATGTCGAGTGGCGGGAGCCCCGCCCCGCAGCCCGGCTTCTGGCGCCATCTGGCGGCAGCGGTGGGTATAAAGCTCGGCCGGCGCGAGCAGCCCGAGCTCCGGGTTCGATTGCGGCGCGTGGTTGGAACCGTCTTCATGCCGCTATGAAATGCAGACTGAGGATGGGCGTCTGAGAAGGACCCCTCGGGTGATGCTTAAGAAACACCGCCTTGGGCCACCGCCTGCGGTGCCGCACCCCGTATGGGCGCTGGTTCCAGTCCCGGCTGCTCCACTTCCGATCCAGCTCTCTGCTGTGGCCTGGGAAAGCAGTAGAAGATGGACCAAGAAAGGTCTTCCTTTCGCTGGTTCACTCCCAAATGGCCGGTACGACCGGCGCTGCGCCAGTCCAAAGCCAGGAGCCAGGAGCTTCCTCCCGGTCTCCCATGCGGGTGCAGGGCCCAAGCACCTGGGCCATCCTCCACTGCACTCCCGGGCTGCAGCAGAGAGCTGGACTAGAACCCGGCACCCGTATGGGATGCTGGTGCCGCAGGTGGAGGTTTAACCAAGTGAGCCACGGCGCCAGCCCCCAAGGGAATATAATTAAAAAAAAAAATTGTCACGGAGCCCTCATTGAAAAGGTGGCATTAGGCCAGCACCGAGTAGCAGCCATTTGGGGGGGTGAACCAACGGAAGGAAGACCTTTCTCTCTCTCTCTCTCAATGTCTAACTCTGCCTGTCAAAAAAGAAAAAAGAAAAAAAGAAAAGAAAAGGTGGCATAAAAACCCCCACTTTTCTTATGAAAGCTGTCAAATACACAGGAAAATAGCGAGACGGAGTCCACAGCCGGTGCGCACCACCAGCACTCAGCAGCTTGGCTTCTGCCGCCCAGGTCTGCACGTGAGGCTCCGTCTCCCACACCCTCAGCTGCTTGTGCCCACGCCTTCCCCTGGCTTTTCTGTCCGCTGTGTATCTCTGCCGCACCTAAGGACAATAACGCTGAGCCCCCGGCTCCGTCCAGTTCCCAGCAGGAAGTGGCGATGGATGCGGGTGAGGCGTGAACTCAGGGCTTGGCAGAAGAGAACGGAGGCAGCCAGAACCGCCAGTGCGAAGGCCCTGGGGCAGAGGCTGGGAAGACGCGGGCAGAGGGAAGGAGCCTGGTGCGGCCCCCGGGGGAGCCAGCAGAGGGCGCCCTCTGCCGGCCGCGTGCGGACCCGCGCGAGGCGGGCACGAGCAGGGAGCGTCCCTGGAGCCCGGGACCCAACGGTGCGGGTTCGTGGCGCTGAGCGCTGCGGGGCCAGGGCAGCGGCGACCTGGAGGGCGGCAAGCCGTCCTGCTCGGATTCTGGGTGCACTTTGAGAGTCACCCCGTGTTGGAGGGCAGGCCGAGAAGCAAAGCGAGCGTGTGGCGAGG